CTCTTCAAGGGATATGCTGCGTCTCCCAAAATGTGGGAGTTGCCAGGAAAATAATTGTCTGGGTTCACTTCAACTTCTCGGCAGATCGGAGAATTACGAAACACGCGAGCATCGTGTACTGAACCAGGGTAACCACAGAAAACATCGGTTATGAATAAATCCGGGTCACAAATGACTTGTAGTTGGACGGAAAAGAAACCTTTGCGATTTATGTATTGTTCATGATTGTTATGTGGTGCTTTGATTGGTATGTGGGTGCCATCAATAGCCCCCAAAACACCCGGAAAACCCTTTTTCTCTTCAAAGGCCTCCATCACCGCTTGGGCTTTTAGACCAGTTGGAAACTTGATAAACTCATCCATTAAGTTCCTCACTATTGCTTTGCAAACTCGTCTGTAGACTCTGTACGCAGTTGCCCTGCAAACATCAAATCGATCGGCAACAGAGCGTAAACATTCTGGATTCCCAAGAATCCACAGCGTAATAAGGATTTGCTTTCTTAACTCGACCGGTGGTCTTCCTCTATCGCCGGTGTATTGAGGTAAGTCGCCGTGGACCGAAAGCAAATGTTCGAGAACTGTAACTGTATGCCGTGACATGCGGAAGTGACTTCGGAAGTCCTCCGGTATGTAACTAGGTACGGTTATTTCGTAAAAATTCTTTGTGCGAACGTGTTCTTTTCGGACGCCAAAAGGAATAAAACTGCTTCGTCATCGGCTCCTAAAAGAACCTGTTGTTGTTCAAGGTCATCGGCAAGGACTTCTTCGAACAGTTCAAACATCAAACCAAAACTTTCCGCCATTTTGAAAACTCCCCCCAAAACACGCAAACTGCATGCTGGGGTCGTTATGGCTAATTGAAAAAAAAATCCATTTTCGGATTTTTCGTGTCTTTAAAAATAACGAATCCGCATGATCTCGGATTAAGAATCCAATCTTGGATTTTTTTAAAGAAACGCACCCTAAGTTAACAAAGTTGGTTATCTATAAAATACAAATAAGTAATAAGCTAAATCCATATCTAGATTTTTTAAAATTAATGAATATAATACAATTATTTGGATAATTTCTTTTCCAATTATGGTTTTCTCTAATTTTCCAGTTTGGTTAAAAAAAATCTAACTTGTCTATCTAAATTGGAAATTTTACGTTTTTGCCAAGCTTGGATTTTAGTGAAAATTCAATTAAAAAAAATGAGTTAAACCTCAAGTTTAAACCAACTTGATTGTTTGTTATTTTTTCCAGTGAGACACCATGATGATCATGTTTTGTTTTGGAAAAGGCTCCCCTCGCAACATTGCTTGAAAATTGGCAAAAGCTGGAATTAGCCATGCTTAGTTAGAAGAGACAGTGAAGAATTCATCTCTGCAAACCTTTCACACTGGAAGGTGATAAATTTTTTTATTGCAGCAGCCAAACAAGACACAATATCTTTAGGAACTTTTGTTGGCCCGTCACTTGTACCTAGGCCCTCCCTGAGGGAAACTACATCCGGGCTCCCCAATTATTGTTGTTGTTGTAACACGAAGTGCTCGTGGTCAAGCTCGGGAATAAAGACTGTGTTCATTGAGCCCTCGATATTGTTTGAGTCGTCTGTACTGCCTGACATGGTGTCAGGAGTGGGATAGATCCGATAAATCGACAAGAGAAGCACTTACGGAGAGCAAACGTACATTTAGCGAATTCAACGACCGCAGCCGACTCGTCAAACAGCGATGGCGAACCTCAAGCGACCTGAATTGAAACTCGGCGGGAATATGTCAGAAAATTTCAAGAACTTCGAACTCAGATTCCACGACTACTGCATCCAAGCAGACTACCGAAACTTAGCGAAAAACCCCGAGACAGAGAGAGCAGATTACTACAAGAAACCGTTACAGGAAATATCAGCGCTCCGATCGGCAATGCCGGACGAAGCCTTGCAAGTGATCCGTTACACAATTGAACCCCAGATAGCAGCTGATGATCAGAAAAAACCATGGATCTGGATGGACAAATTACGACTTCATTACACTGGATCTATCGGAAGCTCCCTATTGGCGGACAGATTTAAATTCTGGAACACTCAGCAAAGCCCACACGAATCTGTTCAGGGATGGGAAGTTAAGGTCAGACAGGCGGGCAGCCTGTGCTCGTACAATGCACTGACCGACGAAATGTGCCGTGACAAATTCGTTTTTGGCTTGCACGATGGCACAATGAGAGCTGAGTTACTAAAAACGCATTTAAAGTCGGACGGAATGCCCAAGAACATGCAAGATGTCGTTGCCGAAGCCAAGGCCCTCGAGTCAGCCCAAAAAGCCAACAAACTCATAACAGACGCCACAAAAGGAATCGAGGAACAAGTTAATTGGATAAGCCACAAACAAATGAAACTAAAGCGGGAGCCTGGAACCTGCTTTTGGTGTGGAGACCGACGCGGACCTCACCCCTGGAAAACATGCCCTGCAAATGGCAAAACCTGCACTAAGTGTGGAATTAACGACCACTTCTCCAGAGTCTGTCTCGAGACAGGCGCCCCCCAACATGAACAACCAAGGAGAACTACCCAATGGCAAGCTCAGGGTAGGGGGCGAGGCCACAGAGCACCTCGCGGCCGGTCCCAACCAAAACCCCCTCGTGAACAAAACGTACATATGCTGCAGATGACAAATGACCAACACCCTGTGGAGTACTACACTGATGACTACCAAGAACAGTGCTACTCCCTGGAAACACGGCAAATACACAGTATCCACACAACCCACGCAAAGAAAAAATACTTTGTTACACTGCCCATGTCTGCAACAGGGAACAAATTCACCCCAGTGACATTCCAAATAGACACCGCTGCCACCTGCAATACCTTGTCTGAAGATACCCTTTTCAGGCTGATGCCAAACATGAAGCTTAGAAAGTCACCCTACCTACTACACCCCTATGGCAACTCCCAGCCGCTGAAACCACTGGGGCAGATCGACCTTCTGTGCGAAAGAAACAAACGATACGAATCGCTCACATTCCAGATACTTCCTAGGGATGTCATGATGAACAAACCAGCCCTTCTCTCTGGCTCCGACTGCGAGGCACTGGGGCTCATCACCATCAGGGCACACGAAATATTCTCACTCACATCAGCAGTAAGAGACTCGTCAGGCAAGAGAGCCCCTACCTACCCAGCCAGCTCGCCACAAACCAATCCAGACCCAGGCGACCCAGCAGCTCAAGCCAACGGTACACTCAAGGGAGTAAAAGGCCGCCACCCTGACCAACCCGACAGTGCCAACCCATACGGTGACCCAGCAACGCCCTCACCTTCTAAACCTATAATGATCCCTTCCAAACGACGCCTGGCCCCACCTGGGAACCTCACCAAGGAAGACATACTAACACAGTATCCTGAAAACTTCGAAGGCCTTGGCTGCCTGGGAACCCCAGTTCATTTCGAAGTAAAAGCTGATGTCTCACCAGTACAAATGCCAATACATCGAGTCCCTGTGGCAAAACGCATGAAAGAAAAGGAAGCCCTTGACAGATACACCGCAGCTGGTATCATAAAGAAAGTAGAGGAACCCACCTCGTGGTGCTCCAATGAAGTCATTAAAGAGACACCAAAGAAGACAAGAATCTGCATTGACCCCAGTCAAACAGTCAATAAAGGAATTCTCAGACCAGCGTATCAAATGCCAACACTGTCTGAACAGCTCCATAAACTCTGCCATGCCAAATGTTTCTCACTTGTTGATGTCAGAGAAGGCTTTCTACACGTACCACTTGATGAAGAATCGTCACTGATGACGACAATGCACACGTCTTATGGGAGATACCGATGGCTCCGCCTCCCATTTGGCATATCAAGCGCTCCTGAGGAATTTCAAAAGCGCCTCATGTCAGCTCTAGAGGGTCTTGATGGAGTATTATGCATCGCCGATGATATACTTGTGTTCGGAGAAGGAACAACCTACCAAGAAGCTGAGAAAGACCACGACCGCCGTCTTGTCGCACTTATGGAGCGCTGCTCCAAAAAGAACATAAAATTAAACCAGAGAAAACTGCAGTTCAAGCTACAACAAGTCAAATTCATGGGCAACGTCATAACTGATCGAGGAATGCAAGCAGACCCAGACAAGATAGCAGCAATCTCAGCAATGGCCCCACCCCGAAACAAAGCAGGTGTTCAGCGATTCGTGGGAATGGCCAACTATCTCTCACCCTATTGTCCAAACCTCAGCACCATCATCCGGCCTCTCACCCAACTCACCAAGTCAGATATCCCCTTTATGTGGGCACAAGCACAAGATGACGCATTTAACAAAGCCAAACACCTCATCTCCACTGCACCAGTGCTCCAATACTATGACCTCAGTAAACCGGTCACACTTCAAGTCGACGCTAGTGAAGAAGGCGTGGGCGGTGCCCTCCTTCAGCCCAATAGTGAAGGACGCCTCCAACCCGTAGCATACACATCAAACAGCCTCAACGCAACAGAACAACGATACTCCCAAATCGAAAAAGAGTGCTTGGCCATTTGTAACGCATTTGGAAAATTTGACCACTGGCTCTATGGCAAATCAGATATCGAAGTTCACACCGACCACCAGCCACTTGAGACCATCTGCAAAAAACCTCTGCACAAAGCCCCGGCACGGCTACAGAAAATGCTAATGAGACTGCAGAGATACCGCTTCACCATCCAATACAAGAAAGGAACCTCACTCTACCTGGCAGACACTCTCTCAAGAGCAGCACTACCTACCCCAGTACATGCCAGGGTCACAGGCTTTGAAGTATTCAGGACTGAACTCACAGAGGAATCCGATACCCACAACCCCCGCCTCACAGAAACCACCGAATCTCGCCTATGTAACAGTGTGCCATTTTTCTGACTGGATCGAAGTGGATGAACTTGAAGACACTTTGGCAACATCAGTCATTAACAAAACCAAAGCTCATTTCGCCAGGTTTGGCGTTCCACGTATCTGCCACACAGACAACGGACCACAATTCACCAGTAAGGATTACATGGACTTTGCCTCTCAGTACGGGTTCAAACATACCACCTCAAGTCCCTATCACTCCCAGGGCAACGGCCGAGCCGAGGCAGCAGTGAAAGTATCGAAGTCTATGCTAAAGAAATCAGATGACTTCCAAATCGCCTTGCTCAATTACAGAAACACACCACCAAAAGACCACACCTACTCTCCTGCCCAACGCATGGTGAGCCGCCGGACACGAACGACGCTCCCAACAGCTGACCACCTTCTCGAGCCCATGTCAATCAACCGTGACACTGTATCAGCAGAACTCAAGGCCAAACGCAACACCAGTAAAGCTCACTATGACAAGACTGCGGGCCCAGAGCAGAATAGCATCAACATTGGTGAATTTGTGTATGCACGACCACCGACAAGCAAACCAGGCAACCCTTGGGCATATGGCCGTGTCACCGGACAACGCCACTCAAGATCTTACACCATACAAACGCCCCACAGTACCATTCGACGAAATCGGATACACATCAGGCATGCAGTACCTCCTCCTCCCCAAACACCACCGTGCACCCCACCCACGCTCACGCCTAGACCAGGCCACAGCCTTGCAAATCACTACAATCGTCTAGGATCAGAGCTGAATATGCCCACTAATCAGCCTACACAGCAACCACCTCCCACAAAAGTAACAGCGGCCCAGTTCTCGACACCCCTTCCCCTCCACAACCACAAGAACCAAGCACACCAGCCACGGGCCCAAGTGAGCTGCCTATCGACACACCCCTTGCTACAATTCAAGAACAGCCAAGGGATCACCAACCCGAAATGAGAACACGCACAAGACTCATCAAACCACCAACTCGGTTCAAAGACTTTGAACTCAAGTAATGCCTGCCATAAACGTTCGCGCTGCATAACAGCACGGTTGCAGAACTTTCCATGATAACAGTCCGAACAGAACCTTATATAAGGCTACACCTGCCTACTTTACTCTGTTCTATTTACTATTAATTTTTTTTTTCTTTTTTTTCAAAGAAGGGGGGATGTTGGCCCGTCACTTGTACCTAGGCCCTCCCTGAGGGAAACTACATCCGGGCTCCCCAATTATTGTTGTTGTTGTAACACGAAGTGCTCGTGGTCAAGCTCGGGAATAAAGACTGTGTTCATTGAGCCCTCGATATTGTTTGAGTCGTCTGTACTGCCTGACACTTTTCACAGCTCTCAAAAGTCAAAAAAAGTCTGCAGAGGTTCACTTCAATGCAAGTTGGGTTGAGATTATTTTGCAAGGTTCAAGATTAACAGAGATAAGTAAATACAATGGGTAAATATCATTTACTGGGCAAATACTTAAATAAATATTTTTAAATTTGCTCCAAAATATCAATTTTTTACATTATAGGGAAGTATGCATGATGCAAATGCATCTTCATAAACAGGTACGTTAGATATGTGCGAGTTCATAATAACAAATACATCTTTATACCATAGCGCAACCTACTGGTGTGTTTATCAACTAGATAACCATCTCTTCTTCTTTACCATCCTTTCAATACCAGGAATACAAGTCCCTTTTAACACCAGAATTATAACTAATAGCTATGGAAGGCATTGAAAATGTATGAAGAAAGACTACTGTGGCCAGCCTACCCATCAAACTTCTCATTGTGTGAAATAAACATGGCAACTCAATCCCAGAAGCGGTGGAAGAGCATGTTTGTGACTAATACCAGTCCTCAATCAGGTAAAAGCATGGACTTTGAGAGCAAAAAAGCCTTCCCCTCAAAGGAAAATGGTTGAAGGCTATTATTTTCAGAGGATCAGAGAGAAAAATTTACAGCACCATCCTATGTATCGGATTTTAATTTTTTTGTAGATCAACTACAGTTGCAAGAAATGTGTGAGGGAAGCCCTAAAAAAATTCATCTCCTCTGTATAATTCAAAATTTCCAGAAACTCAAAAGTATGATTTACCGCAAGTATCTTCATGATCTAAAAATGTGACTTTTATTCTCCTGATATGTGTTCTGCACGAGTTTAGAGGTTTATTTTTCTGCTGTGGTCAGATGACTTTACCAAATATGGTCAAGTCACCTGAGTAAGAGTGACCACCAAAAATCCAAATATGACCCAACAGAATGTCCATTGTCACTCTAGAATGCAAGATTTGGCAGGAGAAAGTTTACATAGAAACCAGCCTTGTAGTTAAGAAGTTACATAAGAAATATAGAAAGAAATATGATTCATGTAGAAATGTCTGTGTTAAACACAGGAAAGGACTCCACTCTGCTTCACTCTGATTGGGCAGAAAAACACAGATTTTCTAGCACCAATCAGAAGCCAGAATAACTGAAATCATATGGAACTGGTCTCGCAAGACAATGTCCCTAGGAGCTCTTCCACCCCAACTTGAAATCAACTTAAAGCCCCAGGGTCTCTGAGGATGTGTGTCACAGCAATAGCTAACTGCTGAACTTAGACACTTGTCTCCATCTTTTAAATGGGGTGAACACCTTTAAAAAAGCTAATTCAAGTTTCTTCCACCTAAGAAAATTTAGCCCTGATTGCTTTCAAGTTTCTTATTTGTAAACCGACTTTCTTCAGAGTACCTCCTCTAACAACCATTTGTGAAGTAAATTCCAATGACAATAAGAGCCAAGGAAAATGATAATTCCAACTCAGAACTTCGCTACAATTCATTCATACCATGAAGCAACAAAATTGCCTCAATACCACAAGAAAAAACACTAAGTATCAGGAACAATAGATTTACATTACAGCTTTTAATGCCTGGTGGGCAGAATTATTAAGTAAACATAATTCCAATAACAAAGGGTGGTACTAAGTTATTTCAATAGCTTCTCCATCTAAATGTTGACAAAAGATTGAGCCATTTAAGTAAACAAACAAAAGGTTGAGTAAACACTTACAAAGGTTTTGATCCTCCTGTCTGTACCAAATAAGAGCGCAGGTCCCAGCTGCGTCCATCCAGTAAATTGAAACCACATGAATCACCAGAGTAACCTGTCTGTTGTCGTAAGAGAGAGCGTACAAGCAGTCCCATAGACAAATATCGTCAAGCGCTGCGAAAATCACAGCTTTCGTTGTACTCGCCGACTCATCTTCTTCACCTTGAGGCCCGCGTGACATCCCTCCACATCTGTCATCAGGCTTGTTTTTGACACAAATTTGACGCAGATTCTACACAAAAGAATACAGATGAAAAAATTAATATAATTTATAGCTTTCTCATCGAAGCTAACGCCCGAGAACAAGTGATGATTTGATGATTTGTAACTTCTTCGGTTACATTCATTAAATCTGCAAACCAGAGTAGCATCAAACTATGTCCCCCGGGAACATATTTACAAATTTTAGTCTTGCAGCGAAAAGACCTCTTGAGCAAGTTGGTTGCGGTAGAACCACAATCGCGGCGAAACAACTTCAGTAGAAACTACCATAAACTGAAGATTGTGTTTTTTCATAAAAAAACTTTCTATAAAAGTGCTTAAGAGGACATTTAGAACGGATGTAATGTTTCTTAACGAAAGAGAATTTCGCCTCATTCATTACGAACGCTCTAAATGTACCTGGTTGAAGCTTATGTGAACCGGTTAAAAGAGGCATGCTTCAAGTGAGATTTTCACAATATTCCACTTTCCCTGACATTGTACAGTCGGGTTTTGAGTCTGAAAAAGAGAGGGTTGCGAGGGATACTAGCCGCAGGGATTGCAAATTTTTGGACGACCACGTTAACTCAGGTTTCCCGAAATATTGCGCAAGGCTTGAGCAGGCGACCCAAAGAGCTCTCCGATGTTTTACTCTAAAAAATTAACGTATAAACTATAAGATGTTCATTACGTTGAAAATAAACCCAATCAAGAAAGGAATGCATCGAGAGTCAAGCGTCCTATTTGATAGTAAAGCGCTCCATTTCGGCAAGTCCAAGGGAACCGCGCGCTTCGCACCGTGGAAAGTAGTCTTGTAGCTGATCCATTTCGCTCTAATTTGCTACTCTGAAGCTTTAACATAAATCACTATTAATCTAAACATGTAATTAAGGAATAGAATAAAAGATGATTTACTTGTAGATGGCTGCCTCTTCCTTTGATCTTCGCAAAAGCCAGGTCTTCCTTGCAATGCCGGCTGCGCTACCGTTCACAGTGCTACAAACTATGGAATCTGTCACCCATTTGAGTATGTTTATATTCACGTGACGATCACAACATGATGGAATGGAGCGAAGAAAGGCCTGAGATAATTGAGCATTTTAAAATTGAAAAACCCGCGGAAAATGCGTCAAAAAGCTAGAAGAACAATAACCTAATTATAAATCTAACCATAAGTTTTATTTCCGGAGTGCTCCATCCCGCCTCCTGCGCCCAGAAGGTGAGAAAGCCAACTCGTTGGACTCCCTTATCTGGATCAACGGATTTGCGTCATCGATCGGCTATGCCTCTCTGCAGCTTAGCTTCTCTGGGCGCCCGTTGAACACGAAACTGCCAGCTTTCTGATGAAAATTATTGTAGATCATAGGTTATTATATTGCTGCTTTTCACTGATGTAAGATGAATCAAAGAAATTATGAGAAAATTCAGGTTTCGGCGAGATTCGTGCCCATGCCTCCCCGTTACTAGTTACGAAGCAACATGTTGAGAGTGAGGCAAACTTCAGAGTTCCCCCTTTCCCGTAGAGGGATCTGATCATGCACTGTCGTTGTGTTCAAAATCCTGCAGAGTCATTTGTTGTATTTCGAGTCAAAGCCAGAAGCGCGTGTCAAAGTCTGCACAAACGTAAACATGCGCGTGTCGATGCGCGTGCTGTGATGGAATGCACAGGAAGCTGTTCCTATTGGCTGATTCAAGCACGCGCGTTGTTCCTCCTTTGCATCGTCATAAATGAAACATTTCAGTTGCAAAAGACGTTTGCTCTGCCCGTGTTTCGCAGAGAGAGCTGCTGACTAGTGACTTACCTTGAATGGGTGTTGCTTGGAGTACTTACAAACAAAGAAGACAACGGGAAAAGAAACAGAAAAGGTTCGAAGTCTTCGAGCGTTTGTCTTTCACTGCGTTAACTCTTTTTTATTGCATTAGCTGCAGACTTTTCTAGGACCGCAGTACAGCCACAGAAAATAGTCAGCGCAAATCCAAAATACCACTTCAGGACACTAGTTTTAGTTTTCCGTTCAAAAGTCGTTAAGTTGCCTAGGGTTAGGGTTAGGGTTTTATTTATTCCAATTTTATTACAACGGATCACACACAATGATAATCAAAACAGCCCAAAAGTTGAGCAGAAAGCTATTTGAAATGCTGCGCAATCAATATGAAAAAGGGACGAAAGAAAGAAAAAAAGAAGCAAACGAACAAAACAATCATATTATTTCCACAGCCACTATTTACCGTTTTTTTGTGTGTGTGTATGTGTGGTCACTTCAACCTAAAGCCTCGGTTACATCGACCAGTTATCGAAAAATAAATACAGTGGCATGTTTTGAAAAATGAAACGCGTTTCTTTTTTTCACCTCAGGAAATGCAAGCTATCACCATTAGAGAGAGAGAGGATATTAAAGATTAAAGCTCAAATGGAAGTAGAAATTCACGCTTTGGAAGAGCAGATTTACCGTGAAAAACTCGCGCAGATTGCTAGGGGTAACAGACCTCAGATGCTGACCGACGGATTAAGGTAAAATTTCTTATCAATATTTTGCATTATTCCTTGATTCTAGTACATTAGAGAAAATTTGAATAATTGTCGACGGCCGGGAGATTCAAAAGCCTTGCCACCGAGTGAGGAAAATTCAAAGTCACGACCTTGTAGATCACCTACAAGCCTGTCATGATCTCTTGTGTTAATCAATGATTATGTTACCATTCTGAAAATGTTTTTCTCTTTTTTTGTAATCTCACTTTTCACCTCCGAAGGTGGAATAGCGAGGACATACTTTTCATACCTGTCGGTCAAAAAGCTTTTGTGAAATGCGGAGTTTCACTTAGAGCTCAATATCTTGATGTGGATTGTTGAAATTGAACCTGTTCCAAGCGTTTTGTGAGTCAAACGGGGCAAAATAGTAAACGGTGACAGTGGCAAGTACAGCGAAAATGAGGAAGGTTTGGGTCGAGTCGCAATTTGATTCGAACCTCTCTCGTTTTTCACCACTCCGGTACTATTGAGCCGTTTACTATCGTGCTTCGTTTCACTAACTGAACGCTTGGAAGTCTGGATTACATCCAACCGTTTGCATTTTGTTTCTAACGCGGAGATCTTCGCTTTATAGCTGGACTGGAATCAACAAACCAAATGCAAATTTACAAAGGGAAGGGTATGACTCGCAGCTAGAATCTGAGAGACAAATGCTTGATGCACTCCAGTTCGCATGGTTTCAAAGAGAGAATCCGCTAGAGAATTCGATAGTGGGCTCACTTCCTAACCTAAGAGATATATGGCATTTTGAGAAAGTCAGGAACCCAGGAGCTGAGCAAAAACACTTTTATAGAGAGCGTTAGGCGACACTTGCTAGAGTGTGATTGTTGTAAATAAGGAAAGCTTAATTAAAATGATTTACAGCCAGTATTTCATCTGTTCGAAAAGAAGAAATATTCATTACGCATAGCAGCACAATATTATCAAATAGTGCCACATTTCAAGTATTTTTGGAGAGGGTAAAAAACATTGGTTGGTGGCCAGTTTTCGTCAGCGCGAGGTTCAACACTTTGACCCCTTAAAGTGACTGGCATTAGGAGCCCATTGCTGGGCTTCTCATAGCAGCTAGTTCAACTTACATTATCACCCTACATCAAACATAAGCGCCATGATAATGAAGGAAATGATCATTATTAAAGAAGCTCTTCAAGGTGCTGACAAGTAGAAATTGTTTACCAATCAAGAGCTTCTTTAGCTGGTGAAAATTTCTTATTACCAATATTAATGGGATTACTCCAATTGTAATATCAATAGAAGTTAAACTTACGATCCAAAAATCAAGTTGAGTTGGTACTCAATATATGTTAATTATTGCTTTAAGCAAAAGTTTAAACAAAACTAGACAATGATCAAAACTGTTAGGCTTACATCTGGAGAGTTTGCCATGATAACCTTGCTTAAATACCGCATCATTACAAGTGCTTAATTTTTTTAAAAGGCAAGTAACAGATATGCTAACACCAGAACAACTCAGTGAATGTGTCAAACTCTTGAAACAAATTCTTTTACACAATATTTGAGCTCAACAGAATTTAAACCCGAAATAAAAGAGAAAGGTGGTTCCATTAAAGCAACGAAGAGTTACGAAAGAAGCATTACACCATAAAAATACTCATTACTTCATGACTTTGCAGAAATTAACAAAGTTTGTGGCTTTTTACTTTTCTAATCTTCAGCATCGCCAATCTCGTCTATTATTTCAAATCCCTCCATTAAGTCCATATCATCATTCTCTGGAGCTACTTCTACTTTCGCTTTTTTAGCTTTTGAAGACTTGCCTGCACCTGTCGCAGCTCTGGTGCCCCGTTTTGTTCCTCGACCGCGCCCTCGTCCACGTGCTGTCCCCCCTCTACCGGCTCCTCCCCTAGCATTCTTCCGGCCACGCCTTCCAGTAGGGGTAGTTTCTCTTACAGGGGGCGACTCCTCGACCTCTTCCTGTGAACTCGTCGGTGTCTCTGGCTCCACAAGCTCGACGTTTTGACCGGGAGAGATGGAGACGGGTGGTATTGGGCTTTCAATCTCTTCGTTGTTCACAGATTCATCTGTGGCCATTGGAGTGAAGTCTTCCACATCCTATGAAAATAATGGAAGACAAAATACTTCAGCTGTGATATGTTGCGCGAGACCCTCTGGGGTCTGGTGGTTAAGAGGCACTGTTCTGTGTTCTTGAGAAGGCCCATTAATTTTAAAGTAGCTTTTGTCATCGAATATAAATCATAAAACAATCATGTGCCTCTTGGGTGTGTGGCCATTTCCTGTATTCTCATAACCTTTCTGTTTGATTCAATAGTGATACTGTAGGGAGATATTAGATGCTAGCCACTTCTAGGTGTTGAAGGGTAAAGGTTATCTGTGCCAGCAGTGTGCATCATATCCATTGAGAATACCAAATCACTAGGTTCGTGCTACTTAGACCAGAATAAGCTCAAGCAGTACGGACCGCTTGGCTCATAAGTTCACTCATTCTACGTCTAGGTGAGTTTGTTAAGTTTGCCAGAGCTGATTCCAATCGAGTGTCTAAAATAATCCATGATTCTGGTGGCTTCGCTTTACCTAGCTGTGTTATCGGCCCAAAAAACCACCATCTCAATCTATTAGATTCAAAACTAAAACCAATCCTGACTTGTTCGCTCACTTTTGCCCGCGTTTCAAGAAGTTTGCCTGTTTTTAGTTCAGGTTTTGAATGGCTAATGATGATGTCAATCTTTACTTTGATTGGCTGGTGTTATTGCTTTGATTCTGGTTTATTGAATCCAAAGTGAAAACTGCTCTGACATGTAAACTCTTATCTTCAAAACAAAATCGCAATCTCACAACACACTAAGGCTTCTAACCTACATCAATATTTTAATTAACAATGCATACAAAGGCAGCTCTCTACATCAAGTTGCTTATCAGAGGCCCCATTCGTGAAAGTTAGAAAAAAAAAAACATGTGAAGATTTAACTACAGTTGCTTGGATCTACCCTACAAGATTCAAATGCAACACCTGACTTTTTTTCATCAAGTAGTTCTTAAGAATGCACTCACATCAAGTTGTGGTGTTGTTCCTGATAATGACAAGTCACTTTCCGGCACTTCCTCGTCTCCAAACTGTTCTATCTGGCCGAATATAGGAAACTTTTCTTCTAAAGTACTTTCTCCATGTTCATCTCCGCTTTGGTCTGCCAAAAGTGAGTCCTCATTAATGTTATCAAGGTCTCCAAGGTCTAAATGTACATCTGCAGCTTCACAGTTGATCTGCAATTGGGAGTCTTCATCATAACCCTCTGGGGCTACCACAAATTTTGTTATTGGTACCTGTAAAATTTAAAATACAATTTGAAAACTAAACACAGAGCATTCTCAATACCAATCAAACTAAGCGCTTACCATCATAAGATATATCAGGGCACACTCAGCTAGGCCATCAAAAACGATTTTTATAGTTATGTCCCAAATGATGCACAGTTTTATCAAAAGTCTGAAATTATTTCCCATTGAACAAGTGATTGCATCATAAGATATTTAATAACAGGACCTTTTAACAAGCTTAACCCTTTAACTCCCAGATCAAATTTGTAATTCTCCTTACTGTAAACCATACAATCCTTATAATGTTAGTTCAGACAATTTAGTATTGATCAACTTATCATCCTCAAAAGGATATTTTTCTTTATTCTCATCACTTATCTGGTTGATATTTTATGGATATTGTAAGGAGAAATTCTGTCTTGATCACTTATGGGAGTTGAAGGGTTGATGAATTGGATAGCATCATCCCCAGTTGGACATAGGGTGACTACTATGAAAGCTTGACAAGAAAAAAAGAAAAGGCCACCTGATAGTAAACAGTACAAACCTCTGGCTGTTGTTCACTCTGTGAATCCTTGCGATGGCTCCTCTGCTTTGAAGAGCTTGATTTAATGTCTTTATCAAGTACTTCATATAGCACTACTTCTTCTCCCTCCTTAGGTTCCAACACTTGCTCTAACTCTTTATTTCGCAATAGCTGGTGATCTTCATACTGTGGGTGTTCCTGGGCATATGTCTAGAGAAACAAATGGTTAAAAGATGGTCTATTCATTACATTTAGTCGTAAAATCACAATTTATGTTGATAGTTCAAATATTTTGGTAGTAATTCACAATTTAGCACGAGATTTGCCCTAGCTCTGACTTTTAAAATATTTGCAGATTTTTCTCACACATGTATTTAACACAACATCTTTTTTTCCATATAAATCAATTACAGATCAAAGATAAGACAAACTTACTTGATAGTTCTTTTGATGTTTCTTGCCTTTGATGTGAGTAATCACATCATTTCCACAGCGGATGAATGCTTTGCAAAGGCGGCAGTTAAATCCTGACACAGCTTTAACAAATTCACAACCTAATGAGAAGAGAAAACCAGAAGGTGTTCCAAATTGAATGTTTCACCAGGGAAAGTTGTTTAAAGTGCAATGAGCAGTGATACTGGTTAATCTATTCCATTCATTTCTTTAAGTTTAAGCTCTCCTAACTGACTGAAAATTTTCTCTTTGCATCACTTGTCTGCCTGAATGTGCATCAACACTGTGAGTGGAAATTCCTACCTGGTCACTGCTGGAAGTGAAAGGGCTGTGTATAACATAAATAAAAACTGAATACCCTTTTTTTCAATTTTTGCCTCACCTAACATGTTTCGTCCACTTGTGAAGCCCTCAATCTGAACCCTTGACTGTGTAACAGATGAGATTGTAACCACGTCTCCTTCTTTCATGGCTGTCTTTCTGGTGTTACATGTGTATTTAACAAAGTCTAAATTGAAGTCAGGCCCAGGAGAGTGAAGAGCAGAGGGACTGGATACCTCTTCAACACTGAGCTTTTCCCTGTCATCAGATTCATTAGCAGTCGACACCTCTTCTGTTCCAGATTTATCTGTTGGTGTTGTCCCCTTGGATATCAGAACAGAACAGACAAATGAACAAATTAAATTTAAACGTAGTAGACTACAATGCTCCTCTAGAGTTTTGGCTGATGGAAAAGATGTAAGTGCTGGCTGAACAGAGCAAGAAAAGCACATCAGTTTCAATACTAAAAAAAAAGTCAATTTAACAGGACAGCTAGAAAGCTAGCTGAGTGGCTCATGGGCCACCACATCTCCCTTCACACACCATGCTTCCAACAAGAATCTGCAAAGCCTCTCTTCTCCCTATCACCCCAAACAAGACCTTTAACCCCTTTAACTACCCAACTTGACCAAGTGAGAATTTCTCCTTACAATAACAATACAATATCAAGCAGATGAGAAAATACCAATACAATAAGGGGATTATTAATTGAACCAATACCAAATTTTCTGAACCAACAGAATACTTGGCAAACAGGTAAGGAATTACCTATGAGCTCTTAGAAGTGAATTGTATTTACAAGCTCTTATTACATTATATATATATATTATCTTTTGAGTATTGTAAGTTTTTCATCAAGAAATGCACACTGTATAAGGTTTTCAAAGCTGGGTGACAGTTCAGCAAAATAATGAATTGGGGTTTGGTTCTAAATGTGTACCCCATGTTGAACAGCCAAAAATTATTAAACATCCCACAAAGGGGCTTCATAAGCTTTACTGGCAATCTCCCATTCCACTATCATTGGGATGATATTAACAAAAAATAAGTCAACTGATGCAATAGGAAAGCCACAAACAAGATATTTACCTGACTAAAACTCTTGAACTTTGCATCCTCAAATTCCTGTCCTCGGCTTTCTAGAACAGTCCTTGCATGTCTCTTTCCAAGAAGATGTTTATGAAAGCTCTAAGAACAAGAAAATTTTTATGTAACTGAAGACAACATCTTGTTACTACTTGTATTTCAAAAAATTACCCATATATGTAATAGCTTGTTCAAAATATAACCAAGCAACAAAGTGTTCTGTATGTTTTTTAAAAAAGTCTAAAAACTGGGAAACTCTTGTTGGCAACACTTGTGTTGTCTTCGCAAGATATGCATAAGAAGGTTTGAATCACAAAATTGTAACACTCCCTGAAGTGATTTACATGTACAATGCAACTTCTCCTACACAGCCATACATCACCCAGCAAACAGGTAATAAAAATACTCGAACTTATTAGATAGAAGTTGTTATACCATGACATAGCAATCTGGTAACCCCCCAATTTATCAGAAGTGATTTACAGGAAGTGTGAGGAGTGGGATAATATTCAGATCTTTAGAGTGAGAGGGTTACAAGTCCATTCAGGACTTAGAGCGGTCACCTTCACCATACAATTGATCAAAGTGGTCAACAAGTAACTTCTCCAAACAACATCAAAATACCATCATCCAATGAATAGGTGTGAGAAATCACAATTTCATCAGCTAGAGTTTGATTTCATGCTTTGATGTCGATTGTTCTCAACAATTTAAAGGGAAATCAAGAAATCAATTACTCAAGTCTCGCAGGTACACAAGAATGAATTTTGATTTTATCATCACTCCATACCATTGGCAAGTTGCAAATAATCTTGCATTCCTGACAAATGTACTTGTTTCTTTTCCTGTCGTACAGAGAGATCATCAAAGAATCAACATCTTCTCCAAGAAAGTTTGTGGATTTGGGAAGAGGTGGCTGATTGAATTCATTTGCACGAGGTCTTTCATTAACACTGTCTTGCTCTTGCTTTTCCTCTTCATGTGGTTCCTCAACCTCCTGTTCATTATCACCTAACATAAATTGAAAGATCCCTTGATTTACTACCAAACATGGTTGGACTGAACCAATTTTTATGCAGGTATGATGACTAGTCATTTAGGAACACTAAAATAAAAAGGACCACATGAAAAGTTTTATTATCACTCATTTTAACCCTTTGACTGCCATGAGTGACCAGGACAGAATTTCTCCTTACAACATAAATACAATATCAACCAGATAAGGGATGAGAATAAAGAAAAATATCAATTTGGGGATAATTACTTGATCCAATTTACTAAATTCTCTGAACTAACATTATAGGAATTGTACAGTTGACAGTAGGGAGAACAAAAGATTTGATCTGGAAGTTAAATGTTAAGAACAAACCTGATACCAAACTAACCTCCTTCTTCAACATCCTCCTCCTCAACTTCCTCCTCATTGACTTCTTCATCCTTGGTCTCCTCTTTGGTTGTGACAGTGGTCTTCTTTGCTTGGTGGCTCTGTGCTCCTCCTCCAAACTGCCTGCCTCTATTTTGAAAATTTGATCCACGGTTGAAACCTTGCTGGCCACGATTGCGATCTGGCCGATCTCTCTTGTTTGCAAAGTTACCTCCACCCCATCCATCATTTCTACGCTTACGGTTCTGCCGCTGCATGTCTCTTCCCCCAGTCCTTGGTATCAGTGGTGTGGGTAGTAACCCTCCTAGAGAATTTGGCATGGCACGCTTCGCTTGCTGAACCTGTGCTTGAGCATTTGCGTTAGCTTGCGCCTGCATAGCTGCCAAGAGTGACTGAGTCTGCACCATGGCCATGAGTTGCTGCTGTTGCTGAGCCAACTGTGCTGTCAAGCCAGCTGTTGGGTTATTACCTCCTCCTGACAGACCCAAAGCTGTATGATGCACAATATAAAGTTAGATTTGTAACAAAACACAATTTGAAGAAGTGCGAAGAAGCATAGATTTGACATTTACATTAAGAACAAAAACAACATCTACATGTATGTGCATGTACATTCATTTCATTAGTTTTTGATGTACACCTCTGCAAGGAATTTGAACTCAAGACTGGAATTTCAATAAAGTAAAGAGAAACACTTGTGAAACATAAATAAATGACTACCTATTGATTTGATATTATTTTCTATGGCACAATTTCTATATTCAAGAGGGTACAATATATCAGAGGTTGAAAACTTTATCAAGACTGACATTGTTAGAAAACTTAGACTCTAAATAAAGCACACTTGGAAAAATCTCCAGAAATGTAGATTTTGGTAGAAAAACTAGAAAATCAAAACTTAAATGCAAGTTATTTACACTTGTGAAATTACATTTAGCTGGTAATCAAGTGTTTAACTCCACAAAGAAAACATTGATTCATCAAGTAACTTTGATGTTCTAGTGATAAGCCTTTCCTTCTTCAAAAAGTTACATGTATATTCTCTTTATTGGCTCGTTTCGCGTTGGTGACACTTGAGAAGATCTGAAATATGAATGTCTTGATAATACCATGCCTATTAGGGATATAATCTACTGTTCCACCCTTCATGGGAGTTACTACGGATGTGCCAAAGTATCAGCACTTTTTCAAGTACATGCACAAAAGCAGCCAACTTTGAAGACAAAATTTGCAATCTAAAAGGAATTTTTTTCATCCACACGAGTCAATAAAATTAACAAAAATTAGTTATTAATCAGCACGACCACCAAAGAGCTTGGCAAATCTTTTTGTAACATCTTATCTTTACAATTTTGGTTCACAAGGTGAAGGGGATGGATGACCCCTACTTATCTTAACCCTTTTACGAGTGACTGAGACAGAATTTCTCCCTACAACATGCACTAACAAGCAGACAAGAGATGAGGATTGAAAAAAATTCAATTATGGTCAATTATGGGATTCCTTGATCTAGTAAAAAATTCCTTAAACTCAAATCAAAAGAAGTATTTTGTGGACAGGAAGGAGAGTCACTAGTAAGATCTTGAGAATGAAAGGGTTGAAACAGCATGTCTTGTAATCTAATGGCCCTCTCCCATGAACTTGAGCAAGAATTTCTTTGTAAAAGGACATCCTTGACTGTAAATATTTGTTCAGAGACTACATCTGCAGCTCAATTTAAGGTTAAGAAATAGCCCAGTTTCTGGAGAGGTTTCAGCCAGCCTAAACATATCCATGGAAGTAAGAAGAGCTCAAAGAGCTCAGATTTATTCCACTTTGTCAGTGTTCTCATTACTTTAATCATGACAGGGAAGGGAAAGTTTCAAACCAGTACATCAATCCTTTTACTTGTGGAATTTTGCAGAATTTCAGGCAGTAAATTTTATTGGTTACCACCTGAAAAGGAGAACACTATTTGCATTATGCCACACTGTGCCCTTTTGGATCAGAAGACACAGGTGCCCTGAATCTACTGCTTGTTTAACAAGTCCAAAATGTTGAAAGAACATGTTGCATCCAAAGCACCGACAAATAGTCATTCCATAGGTGGTGAGGCAGGGGAGGCTATTATGCATAATTACTGCCCTTCAGTGACAAAGAAACTAATTGAGATGCACCATGAGGTATGATCACAGCTCACTGCTAATGCATTGTCACAAAGCGATTGAGGACACACCAAACACTGTTCACAATGCAAAAGAGGTTTGGTTGTAACAATGAATTACACAGAGGGCATTTTAGGAAATGTGTGCCTAGCCTGATGCACTTTAGTGTCAAACTCCTCTGCCATGTCTGTGCTCTTTGACAAAACTGACTATAAGGGTCTACAAAAAATGGGCTGAAAAATGACACCCATTCTCAGGCGTTTCAAGAAAAGCTGGTTACAGGATGTCTACTGCTGCCTGTAAGAACTCTTATTGCACTCTGTTTGGCCTGCAAGGTTCTTGTGCTTGAGTTTTGCCTTATGGCCTGTTTTCAGGGCACAGCTGCCCATTACACCATAGACAGCAGCTTACATGTATAGGGAAGTTACTGAAACCCTTGCATTCTGTACACCAATGTCACACTGTACAAAGGACCAGCCAATTCTAGCCTTAATTCTGAGCTTCAACAATGAGGGGGCTGAAATTTTCTTAAATTTTTAACCTTTCATTCCCTTTTGTAGCCCAACAGAATTGCATTTTCCTGTGCCAAACAGTGTCACAATCACTTCCTAGCTAGAACTAGGAACAAAATGATGATGTAAAAGATCACTGAAGTTTAGGGTGATTAAAAAAACTCCTGCATTGAGTTCAAATTCCTTGGGCAGGGAGTCACCGTGCTAGTAAGATTCAAATCAAGTGAACTGCACACATGTCCACCAAAGGAAAGAATGAAACATAACTAGGGATTTTTCACCCTTTTTTATGCACATGAATATACACTTAAGAGGACAAAATCCTTGCCTTGAGTCAGAGAACTAAGTCTCAAAATAAAGTGTTATGTCCACTGTTTATCACCTACATTTTTGTGTTGAGTAAATGTTACATATTTTCAGTGATGTAGGCAAGTGAATGTGAATATTGACCTTCAGGTAAACACCACCAGTATTTCTCTTAACGACAATAACAAACTATGACGCAACGCAAAGTCACAAAGAAACCTGAGGACACGTCAATCAAAAACTGATTGCAAGAAAATGAAATGTAAGGAACTGTAAGGTTACACTTAAAGAAAACAGAAGTCAAAGTGGACACAAGAGATCACTCAACAGAGAGGACAAAAAACGACAAGAACCAGAGTTTTATGTGAACTGTTCCTAGCTAGAATCAAAACTGAACACAGGAGCTGATAGGGTTAGAGTGCAAACCATAAAAGAGCACTGCATTGGGTCATTAAAGCACAACTCAAATACTGAGGAGCTAAAAACACAACAGACCTGGAACTTGTAAAGGATTAGATGGAAGCTCTGGGACAGAGCGATCACCAGGCTTGGCACCCAAAATTCCAGGTCCCTGATTAGTAGAGCTTCGGTTGCCTTGAGATCGATTATTAGTGCTGTTGTTCCGATATCGATCTCTGTTTTGATTATGATTTCTATCATTCCTGTTATTACCACGATCAGATCTTGAGCTGTTCAAGTGTCCCAAAGGATAACTCACAAGATTTGACTGGCTTCCTTGCCGATGGTCATCTAAATATGATGAATAGGAGGGCTGTATTTAAGGGGATAAAATATAAGCAAGAATGTTGTCAGATAAAAAAAAAAAGATTAATAAAGCTTGATGACTCTTAATTGTTCCTGACAGATTTAAGACAAACAAATGCACAAGTACAGGACAATGACAACTGCCAACCTGAGGAAACAACTGACATAGCAAGTACATGATGAATAGCTGGAATCAGTTGGGTGATGTTATAGATATATGTTGCCATACATCGCTTCTACTTACACAATAAAAATAGTAAGATCTTCAACTGCTTCAAGCAGATGTATGTGACTAAAATGGATGCATGATGTCTGAATGAAAAAAACACTGCCAATAAACTACAAAATCCCTCATTTCACAGCTGATGTTGAAAGATCCAAATGTACAGAACAGTTTTAAATAAGATCTTTCTGTTACAAACCCTGCCAAAGTCAACTGATCAAACAATATTAAATATGCATTATAGAGTCAACCTTATGGAGACAGGTGTATTTGAGTCCCAGAATATTATTTTCTTCATGTACTAAGCAATGTCTTCTCTTATATTCTGTGCCCAACTCTTGTGTATCACAGGGAGCATGATGCATATAATTTTGCAATTAACTTGCAAACTTCATTGACTCTGTTCAAAACTTGCGAGGACCATAAATTCCTTTCCCTCTGAAGTCCAAATGCTGATAGTTTTGAACATAGAAAATACTAATGTGGAAACTGGACTGTTGAGTGGTCCAAATAAATTTGGTGATATTATCATAAAAAGAGGATTTCAATTTGAAATCCTTGGTCTCTCCATGAAACCATGGTACTTTAATTCAGAAAAAAAGATCTCTTCTGAAGTGTCAAAGGCCTCGTGATTGACCACTTTACTTCACCCATAGTAAGAATTTTACAACAGAAATGAGAAAAAACAAACAAACAAACAAGCAAGCAAAAAACAAGAAAATCCGGCCTGCCCTTCCATGAACGGATCGAACTGTAGCTTGTCTGGAGTTTTGTCCACGGACAAGAAAGCAAAAAAGTAGCTTGTGAATCAATCCTTACTCTAGACAAACGAATAGAAGGGCTGCTTAAGAAATGGTGCTGGTGCTGCCTTGGTGTGGGGTATTGAAAATAATTGGTTTTATCAGCTATGTGATAATGTAAATTTGCCAACATAAGGAGTTTCTAAAGCTAGCGTTTCAAGCATCGGCCCTTCAAAACAACCAGACAAAGTGCTACTAAACATGATTTGTAGCAATATACCGGAAAGTATTTCAAGCAACCCAATCACATAATTGAATTTCTGAGGAGCTGCCAAATATTTTCCATTCAGCATGAGAATACAGTATGGAATGGTTTTTAGCAGATAGAAGACATGGCCATGATTGCTATTAAATTGGGAAACATTCCGTCAAATTCCCACTCAGATTGCGGAAAGACGGCAGATTCTTCTCGTGGAAGGTAAGTTTATAACACTTCTAAGTAAATATTTGAACTGAAATTCCAAAGCCGTGGAGAGCAAGTAAGCAGATGGATCAACAGCCGTCATAAATAGCTAGCGGCATCACATCAACATTTCCAGCTTCTGAGTAAAGTGATATCTGGATCTTGATGACTTTTGAATGAAAAGACGAAGTTCATGTACTACGGAAGAGCTCTCGCTACAAGTTTCACACATTCAAATTATCCTACAGCAATATTGTAAACATAGTGTATTAAACATCTGTTTATGGCACAGTGCTAATATCATATGGAAATTTTGCGAACGGCCACACTAAACCGTTGTGCATATTCCTTAATGAAAGACAATTTCTACTTCTAAATTTCTAACAGAACTTTCACCCACAAGCGCTACAACGAGAAAGTGAAATTTCATCAATGCGGGCTACTAAAATGCTTGGAACCTTGGTCAGTTTTGGTATGAATTATTCTAACACGTGTGCAGAAAATTATAGGTGTTTCTTGTAACAAGTAACGATGGATTAGTACTCCCTTTCCGAATTCCTTTTCAAGCAATTAGGTAAAGCTTACTTCTGGCGAGAACCTCTCCCGCGAAGATCTCCCTCTAGCACCACCGCTGTCTCTTCGACCGTACTCATCGTCTCTCCTTGTATCTCGATCACGATCTCGGAAGCGTCTGTCATCATAGTCTTGGCGGTCCCGTCTCTGGTTTGACCCTGAAACATTTTGCTGGAAATTTGCAAACGCCTCAGTAAGTGAAGGAATGTTTAAAGGGTACCTTCCAAATCGTGACATGTTATACGCGAGTAACACAGCAAAATGGCAAAGTTAGCACTCTCCACGCGGTTGCGCGCTCGCAAAGTTATCCGGGATATCGAATACATATGCCTGCATGTGCACGTCCCCGGATATAGAATGATAGGATGGACTTCATCGCAAGCAAAATTGATCGGATTTTTCTGTGTCTCAAGATTATTTATCGAGGCTGAATCACTTTCGATGCAAGGCTACATATAGTAGAACAGTAAGATGTACATGCATAATTAAGTATGGGGCTGTGCGGAAATTTTTCCCAAGGCTACATATAGTAGAAAGAATGACTCAATGAGTGGGAGTCTGCAGGAAAAGTTAAAGGTGTTTCAACTTTTTCCAGAGACGCAGGACAAAAACAGGTCGTTGATATATTGATAGTAATAATGATAATAATGGTTATAGATGCTAATAATGAAAATGGTATTAATAATGATACTGATATACATGGTAGTCATGATACAAATATGTTGTTGCTAAAATCCAGCGGTTGCATACCGTTGTTTAAGGACAGTGTCTAAATTTCTAAAATTCTCGATGTAAAGTTACTCGGAATCAAAATTAGCGTGAATACCGCTGAAAAGATACTAAATTGCATTCAACAGTGCTTCATTGCGCACATACGAAAGATAGCAGTTGTTTTTTATTTTTCACTTATTAGAAGTTTTGGCGTGTACTATCACTAATTATTTTCACTCGTCATTAGTGAGGAACAACTTGTAAAAATACTGGACGATACTCTACGCCAAAGCGTCTAACAAGATATACACCCGTATCCCACTGTTCCACCTCGAGGACGGTTGGCCCTCGCTTCCCGCTCTTTTGTCGTGAAATAATGCAGATTAACGATTAAGGAATGTCTGCTTTTCTGTATTTCTTTCCCACTTCCCGGCCTGTCATCTCCTGTCTCCCAACCCTACCGTCCTTTTTCCTCCCGAGGTCTCACCCATCTGTCCCTCTTCCCTCAGCGAACTTGAAGGGACTATTAATCTTTTATTTTTTTTTTTCGCACTGTGACGAAAATGTTTAGTTATCTCCTGCTTACTAGGGCATAAGTCCATCAAAACACAATAAGACCAAAAGTTAAATTTTAATAGAAATCTCTGTGAGGATTATTCCTACACGCTGAACTCCCAGCAATTTTTAGAGAGAGCCCCATCTTCCTTAGTCTAAATCTACCATAGCATGTATTTAATATGTGGATGCCAATTTTGATAGTTGAAACGCAAAAAAGGTAAAATCGAACGTAAATTCTCTCCAATGAAGCTAGGTTTATTCGATTTGTTTCTAACTAATGTTTAAAGTAGATCACTTAAAATAGTTTAAAAAATTCTTCCTTGATGCGAGATTTCTCAAGGCTTATTTTTGATTGACGTTTTGATATTATCAAATGAAATTTCATAGGGAAGCCCACCGCTGATTACGTATGTCAGTGCCTGGCTATTCACAGCCGTTAGGGACTGGGGCGAATGAATTGTCTATATTGTATAAAACAGCTAAGAGTGAGTACATCAAAATTTTGGAATGGTGTTGTAGATCTTCAAGGCAGGGCCAAGCTTGATCTTTAAAATGTTCACGATGTCGCTCTGGTTGAGTAAAAGGAAGGCCTCTCCATCGATTTGCTGCAAGAAACAAATAAAAAAGTTGATGGCGCAAGTTATCAGGCCCCGGTTGTTCGAAGGTTGGATAACACTATCCACTGGATAAAACTCTATACGTTGGTGAACGCTATAAATTTTGCTATCGCTTATCCGCCAGAAGTAATTTACAGAAGCAATTTATCCGTTGGATACCGTTATCGGACCTTTCTACAACTGAGCCCAGGCCTTCACGTTTCAGACTCATAATCTAAACATAACCGATTAATTCATACTACGAGTTCTGAGGGTCTAAACACGCTTCGTGACCATGCGCAGAGATAATTTCAGGAGTTGTTCATCTGGAGCGACAAGAAAAGTACCCGTGAAAATCTTCGTCCCTGCGGCATTATTTTGTACTCGACATAAGAAGCACGAATTCGAGGTGGTTTGAATTTATACGCATAATCACAGCCATAAGAATGATTTGCAACGATTTGTAACGATTTGTTTAGGAAGCAGTGCACACGGTGGAATACACGGAGAAGAGAGGAAAAGGTTTAACTAAAATTAGCACCAGCCGGAAACAGCAGCCTCTGACAGAAACAAATGGGGAACGAAAATCATCAAGCCAGCAAGCCAAGGGCTTAAAAATGAGACACACGACACGGTTTGTTACAAAAGCTTGCTGCAGCAACTTGTCATTCTATGTCTCGGTGTTAGGCCATAAAATCTGCACTTTTATGTCCTTGACCAATTTAATTGAAATTTCTACAAAAGGAAACGCACTTTAGAGAAAGATGAACAATTACCTGTTCAATAAAAATTTTGGCTTGATCTCCACAACCCAGACATGTTACGTGACTGGCAACGTCATTGACATCCCAGCCCATCATTCGCTGACGCTCACTGGACAGTGCAGCGTTGTTATTACGGCTAATGGAAGTCCTGAGCTCGCTTAGAAACGCTGTAGGAAACCCGCTACCGAGAGGCCATGGGAACGAGAACGGTGACACGTGCTGGATGGCTTTATCTGCGACTGAAAAAAAACAAAAGGAACAATCGTTCTCATTACTGATTTACCGTGTTTTGGTTTATTTTAGTTACTAGTTTCGATACAATAATGCACAGTCTAAGGAAATTGTTAACACTCCCGCCAAAGTATCCCAGCGACCAATTAGAACAAAGGTTACATCACCATTAGCCAATAAAAACTCAAAGTGAAAACAAAGAAACTGCTTGAAGCGTGGGAAAACGGGACTTAGCCGCGATTGCTTTAAGTTTTACATCTGATTGGTTAATCCCAGATTACTGTCGACGCTGAATTGAAAATCACTCTATAAGCAGCTCGTCTTGGCTGTGCGAATGTCTAAACTTCCTGTGCGTGAGATTTACCTTTGCATTTGGCAAAGTCGGGCTTTTCCTCCTTGGAGCTAATTCGCCTGAAACGAAAAATTAGTAATGTAAGATAAGTCAAATTTCTCTCAATGACGGCTTCAACATTGCTGATCAAATTTTTCGTCTCAAGTTCGTGAAAAAAGACTTCTTTCTTTATAAAATAGTAGTACTCAGTAGCAACGGCAACAATTTTACCGACTGACTGAAGTGTTTAGGGTAGAACTGTTGCAAAAGTGTCTGAAAATTATTTTTCAAGATTTCCCTCAAAAGGACCAGATAACTGCTCTCCTCTTGATTTTTCCTGAAGGACCCTTTTCCGTCGGTGGAATCTTTTCTTGGATTTTTCTTTTCTTTCTGTAAATGATTTGGGGAAAAAATCCTCTAATTTTCCTTTTTCATAAATTAAATTTAACGAAAAATTCCTCTGCACGATTCTGTTGTTTTACTTCCCCTACCCTAGCCCTAAAACTTAAAAAAATGGTTCCTTTCGCTGAAGAATTTACAAACCTTCCCTACCTGGAGGTACTGCGTGTGCCAATGACATTGGATTCTGGAATGCCTGCGGCAAAACTCTTGTTTGTGGGTGAATGAAGAAAGCTGGGTTTCTTTGCAGTTGGTGATTTTGATAAGGGAGATTTTGATAAATGCTTCACTCGAGGACAACCTGACAGGCTGAAAAGAGTAAGAAAAATGAAAACATAAATACTAAGAAGACCAAACCAAATTGGTGTGATGCGCGACTAGAACGCGTGCACTTTGAGTCTTTTAAAATTTGAAACACATCGTGAGTATTTGTTACAGGTACGATTTTATCGTGTGCGAGTTTTTTAGCTTTTCAGTTTTTTGGTCAAGTCGCTTTTTAGAGGATTGTTCCTTTTGGAATTTAGGAGTTTACCGTGTTTCTATTAGATGGTGGTTTTTGCTTGTTTTCCGAAGAGGTTCCATGACCGCTCTCGAACAGTTAAGGAAAAACGTTCTAGTTAATCATCCTACAAGAAATCCTGGGAGAAGATCAATCGTAGACCCACCTGTACTCGTTAACATAGAACATGTTTAATGTTAATAAAGTGTAGCGCATGCGCACTTTCGTAAGGCTGTTCGCTGAGTATTTACAGGAAAAGTACTAACGTGTAGTGTGTCTTCCACTGTCCGCTCACGTGGCCGGTCCCGTCACACCCTGGTGTCGGACAGGTCCCATCTCCTTGGTTGGTGGAAATTTCTTCTGAAACAGGAATAGATTTCGATCCTTTAAAACATGACAAATCTTTTTGTTCAATAGCAGCGCAAGATACTGCACAATTGCCAAAAATAGAGAGATGAAAAACAGACTGAACACTTCCGCGTGCGAGGTTCAGAGCCGTTGACGAGCGAGGTCGCCTCAAATACAGAGAATGAAGTGTATTAGGCCAGCGGTCTCTCACTGTGGAGAGTATATCCGAGACCAAAATAATTTTTTCCTGTGTTTTAGCGCTTATTTGAAGCCTTTTTGCGATGCCTTTGTGGCCTACGACATTGCAGGGAATAGGGTTGCTTAGTTTGCCCAAAACTTAGTGAAACTAAACACAATTTAACGAAACCAATACCTTTAATGGCTTTCACCACTGCTAATTTTTGTTTAGAGGCGTAAGACCAATCCGACTCTTCAGTCATGGAATTATTAGAAAGTCGATCGACAAGACACGAGTCCTTGTTCAGGTTCTGCAGAGAGTAGGGGCAGCCAAACGTGCTGTGATGAGTTGAGTACTTCGCGCCTTTCACGTGTCCAATTCCTTTACATCCGGGAGTCGGACACGCCGCGCTTGATATCTTCTCACGCGTCGCTGAAATTACATATGCAACAAAATTAGCTGGAAACGTTCTTTACTTGACGAACAAACTTTAGACCATGCATATTTCGCATTAATCTACCGGCGTTCTATCACAAATGCTGTAATGTATAGCCAACAACTTACTGAGGGGGGTCTCCAAAGGATGACCTGTCTTTTCACACCACCCCACTGGGTAGAGATCCAAGCTGTCAGCCTCAAACCAGTCATCATAAATATCATCCCATCCATCAAAATGTATTCGCAGTCGGTACTCATTTACTTCAGCCACAGTGGCGGCTCGTACTAAGGAGGGATTTCTTTTGTCAACTGCTTCAAGTTTGTGATTGACTTCGAAAATTGGCGGAGCCCGCTGGAAAAGAAATCGATAGAAATTGGTTGAGTTATTTGGGCAAAGGCCTCTGTGGACATATGGAGCCATTTACAACAAGAGCAAAAGATATTAAGGTAAAAGAAAAGGGTAAAGAGTGAGGAGTGAAGTTTGTAAACAGGGTGCGACGGCTCAGATAGCGTTTTTCAGTGACTGAAATTGTTCATTTATCAAGGAATTGTTTAGATCAAACTCACCGTTTTGAAGAAATATGATGGAGCAGCAATGGTTCCTGTGGATTTGAGGTAATCCTCCCAACGAAATGTATGAAACTCGTCGTCTAAATTTGTAAAAATGAATAAATAAATAAAACAGCTTAGTGTATGAAATAACCCAAGAAAGGAGCTACTTCGCGATAACTTTATTTGTTATCTGCAACGACCATGTGAAACTACAAAATGTTAGTTTGGCAGGCAAGAAAAAGAAAAGATTAATGGGATAGACCCAAATGGAGCGTGGATATTTCTTAAGGTGGAGCAGATGGAGACGATTTAAAAATGAGCGACTTTTTAATATTAGGCTGACGAGGTTCCTTTAAGGTACATAACCAGTATTCTGTAGAAAGGATTCGTTACATCTAGTGCGCTTCTTTCCTTTGTGGCCGAAACTAAGCTCTTTAACGACGAGGATGTATAAGTGCCTGACACTCAAATAATCACATGGCATGTTGTTACTAAAGCGTCAATATTTACCGTTGGGTGGGTTAAGATTCCTATTATTCTCCTTACACCACCCCACAGGACGAATGTAAGGGCAGTCATCCCCACACCAGTAGTCATAGGAGTCGTCCCACTCATCAAAGTGAACTAGAAAGTGGTCGCCAATCACATTTGTTACTGTGGCAACGCAGATTAGATCCGGGTTCATTCGATCCACGGCCTCTAGTTTCATACCGTTTTTAAAACCGTGTTTAGTTGGTGAGATCTGAAGAAAATAAGACGAAGGAATACGTCAAGCAATAACTGAGACATGAATTTACTTCTCGGATGACTTGAAGAGATACCGCAATTTTACTATGACGTCGGAGAACAATGACATAAATAAAAAGAAATGTCCTCAATCTCTACTAAATAGTGTAGTGCTAATGGTAAGCACCCTTGGCTGGGAATCTAATGGGTTCGAATCCTAGCCAGTAAATGTGTTGTGCTCTCGCCAGTAAGAGACTTCACTCTCGGAGTGTTTCACTTCATCCACGAGGACAAATAAATACCAGCGATAACGAGGAGAAAAAATGGAAATTCTGGTCCAGGGAAGGGGTGGGTGGGTGGGTGGGGGAACCTATTCCATTCAGGTTCAGCATCATCATTCCTAAGTAGTGACTTCAGCATTTGCGACACGTTGAAAGAAACCGCAACATTAGCCTTAAAAGACAAACTTACAGGTTTGAAGAGATTTTCAGGAGCTGCTTTTGCCTCACAAGTCTTCAAATACTTATCCCAGTTGAATTCGGAGGATAACATACCTAAAAACAGACCAAGGCCTTATAATTAAGCTTCAAAAGATGAATCAATCCAAATGCACGCGTTTACTCAAATCACGTAAAATATCTCCTGCGTATTTCGCTGGTACCAACTGATCTCCTCTCAATCTTAACAGCGTCCAGTGCATATGTGATCAGTTTTGGAAAAGTACAATTAAGTTGTCAGTTTTTGCAAAGGGGGGAGGGGGGGTAGAGCTATGTCCCGACCCCGATTCTCGCTAAGCAACCCCCCTCCTTTTCTGCCTTCTATAAAAAGTTAATCGATGTATATTTCCGATCTGTGGGGTAATGATGTGAGAAATACTAGAACTGTATCCAGTTGTGGTTTTTACTAAATTCATTTGTTGTGTGTTGATAATGACTAACTCCACGACCTAAAAAGAACTACCCAAACTGACTTTGTTTTCTGGAGAGAAGAGGAAAGGACAGCTAAACAATGGAAGTATTTTCAGTTCTCCACTTACTTCGAGGAGGATGAAGTTTTTGACCGTTCTTCTCACACCAGCCAATCGGAAAAATAAATGGTGAGTCGGCGCTGCTCCAGAAGTCATAACTCTCAGACCAACCGTCAAAATGAAGCCTCAATCGGGTGCCCTTTACCCTGACTATGGTACAAACACAAATGTACGACGGGTGCTTTGGATCGATCGCCTCCAGTTTCATGTCCTGTTCGAATCCGCAAGACGTTTTGTTTTCAAGATCGATAAACGGATTTTCCTGTGAAAACGCGAAAAAGGTAAAGGATTTCAGTCAATGGGGTATTTCTGTATGGCCCTCAGCCTTTTCTGGGTTTTTCAGGGATATCTTACACTGAGTGTCGAAAGTGATTCGGGATGGCACTGGTTTTTTTAACTTTGTTCGGTATTTAGCCCAGAAAACTAGCTTCTTTCTCAACTGATCAAATGCCAAATAACAAGCAAACAAAACGTGGCTGTTTTTCCTTTAACTTCCTGTTGGCTCTTTACCATATATCTCATCCTTCTTATTGGCCATCATGATTGCTTTAACTTCCTCTTGGCTCTTTACAATATATCTCTTCTTCCTGATTGGCCATTATGATTACTTTAACTTCCTATTGGCTCTTTACCATATATCTCTTCTTCCTGATTGGCCATTATGATTACTTTAACTTCCTATTGGCTCTTTACCATATATCTCTTCTTCCCGACTGGCCATTATGATTACTTTAACTTCCTATTGGCTCTTTACCATATATCTCTTCTTCCTGATTGGCCATTATGATTACTTTAACTTCCTATTGGCTCTTTACCATATATCTCTTCTTCCTGACTGGCCATTATGATTACTTTGGTTTTACAACAATTAATCGATAAAGCATTCTTACCTCCTTGACCAGTTCTCGTATTTCTTTATTTAAACAAAAGTAAATCGTTTGTGTTAAAAAAGGGTTTCTCTCACGTTGGATGATATTGCACACCAACAATATCTCAAGGTACAACAACTGGCCGGGAACACTTCGTGTGAAAAAAGGAAATTGACACAAACCTGAAGAAATACACTGGTTGGAACAGGTTTTGAACCACAAGCTGCTAGATAATCTGCCCATACAAAAGGTTTGGTTGAGTCATACGGAACTGCAAAACAACAGTAATAGTATTTTAGAGCCTTTTAATTAGATGATTATCTAATTCAGAAGAAAAATTATCGAAATTTCAGTGGAGATGAGTATAAAAATACAATTGCAAGAGCTACAGAGAGACGTTCAAGTTTAGTTGACCCAGGACAGACTCAGTTGTAAGTCAGTCTGGGTAGATTTTGTTTCAAGCAATTTTGAATTGATTGTGGAAAGAAATATGAGATTGCTCTGGTTTTAATCAACGTTACTGACGAACCAATTAAGAGCCAGCCCTTAAACCAATCAAGACCAATCAAGATTTGGCGGCTTGCGTTATCCTGCGCCCCGCGTGTTTTGCTCTTGGCTCTTATTGGCTATTTATGATATTTTCCTCAGATCTGATTGGCCTTTGACATTACTTTGGTCTCGGCTTGTTTACAGCAGTGAATCAAGACTTGGCTCTTGCTACAACAGTTTGAAATTCCCTGGTTGGTAGCAACCTGAAATTTCAAAGTGTTCTTATCAATTATCACTCACCGTCTTCGCCCTTCATGAGATCTGTTGTGTTTAAGGAGGCTTTCTTAAACTTCAACTTGTTTTTCATTCGTTTTCTTTTAACTTTAAACGTCCGGCGAGCTCCCAACATTTCTTGGTCATTCTCTGGTGTAGGTGATGTCTCCTAAAATTGAAAGAAACAAACGTCCGGTTTTCATTAACCGCAAGAACTCGAGCAATTCGATCAGTAGGTGATTAAGTGATCCACATACAAAGTTTCGCCTCCTATCGCCCCACTGACCATATGTGGGAGAGTGAAAAAAAATTCCATGAAGTTTGTCCGACAACCAAAATTTTACTCTGGATAATTACAGAAAAAAAATGCTGCAAATAGACTTTTCGTAGAAAACGACTATTGCGAGGAGTTAGAAGTCGATCATGGGAGACATTCGGAAAAAAATTCCAAACCAAAATATATCACTACAACTAGTCCCACCGACCTCATAATTTTCCTTCATTTTTATCGCCAGACTAACCTAACAACGCGAGAGAGAAGGCGTTGGGGAACATAACATTTAATGGGGATGGCCTTCGTCCAACAAGACTGTGGTCGGCTTTCTATATTTTTTCAACAAACTGACAATATAATCCAAACTTCTTCTCATGCAGGGCCTGGAGATACTCACATTTTGCAAATCCCCATCATGAGGCGACAAAGCTTGATTCTTAGATTTATCTTTCTTTTTCCTTTTGACGATCTTGCCGTCCACTGTTTTAGCATGTCGAACGTATTCCCGCCCTTTGTTTCGTCTACCGGTGTACACGCCCACACAAGACAGACTGCAAAACCTTCCAGAGGCGGAGAATTCATGAGGCAGGCCGTATTTCCCACAGACTTCACAACACAGAATGCTACTGGTGTCCGGAGATATTGACGAGGAATTCGGGCTTTTCCCAGAAACTGTTTTTCGTAAGAAAAAAGAAAAGGCTGATTTTTCTAGGCAGGTTTTAGGCATGGTATCGAAAAATAAATTCCAGTCAGCAATTTCCTCGAAAAACTAACCATGCTAAAAACGGTTTACGTTGGATCAGAGCAGCTTTCAACTGAATAGCAATCAATACAACGGTTAACCTCATCATTAAACAATGAACTCAAGTAAAAACAGGCAACAGTAAAAACAGGCAACTTGCTTGAAGCGTTGGAAAACGCGAGTGGCCGAGTCGGGATTGGTTTTAGTTTTTCCATCTGATCGGTTGAGATGGTGGCGCGAGTTTTCTTGAACTCAGTAACAGGGCAAAGTGAAGAAATCCTGGATCACTTAGGACACGTAATTAAAAGATTCCTTCGACAATGAAATGTACATTTTTTATCTTGTTACCTTTGCTTTTCTTGCTCTTTTTGTTGCTTTCTCTCTCATCCGTGCTTGTCTTGCGGTGTTGCGTGGGTGTGCTCCACTCGTATTCGCCTTTGTCTGTTTCTATGGTGCTGATAATCTCCAGAGTTCCAAACTCAGTCAGTTTGAACTTCAGGTTGCTTCCTAAAAACACCACAGGGACAACTATGTAAGTACTGCGTAAACGGACAATTACAGGACTCAGAGGGGTGGAGGGGCGCCTGGAGAAACATATCCTAAACATTTTATTAAAACCTCCTCCTTTTGGAAGTTGTAGCATTCTTGCCGAGTGCCTCAGAGTTCAATTTTTCCGAGTTTACTTGTATCAATAGCATGACTACATCATCTTTCGCAACTCTTAGACTGGAATTGACTTGTGACGGCACATGACTGTACCTGGTAAAGTGGCAATTCCGTCTTTCCAATCTAAAGCTCCAAATGGATCGTCAACAACATCCTCAGTTTTCACCTCAGTCTTCTTCGTGTCATTATTGTTGTCATTGTCAACTGATTGCTTAGTAACAGCGTCATTCAAGTCGCTACTATCATTTACAGAAGGCTTCTTGTCTTCAGTGACATCAGAAGGCAGAAACAACGGAGGTGGTGTACTTCGTTGCGGGAAAGGTTCTGACCTTATCACCAGGTTTTCTGCGCAGAATCAGGCATATATGTTTAATGTCTCACTAAATAGATTTAAACAGCTGGTTTTATATGATAAAATGCTCATTGACTGAGTTTGGTTGGGCTGGACGGGAAAATACTACGACTTTAGGTTGAGTGAGGAGCGACGGAAGTATGGCAACCACTTTTTTACGTTAAAATTGTGTCGTTGTCACGGGAAACTGACTGCGTTCCCAGTGATGATATGATTATTGGCCTCTTTCAGCGGGCTTTCACCTTTGACGGTTGGTGACGCACGGCTCTTAAGATTGGGTTGCCTCTGGAAACGAGGAAGGTTTCCGGTGACAACACCGTAATTTTTTACTTATTAAATATACTTTTTTTTTTACTAGGCGGGCCGAAATCTTAAGTCTTCGAATCCGACCGGCTAATTGCATGCTGGTAGCCGAGTCAGTGTTTAACAAATGAACCACGGTCCGGAGTTTTTCTAGCAAACCATCGAAAAAAAAGTAAATTTACCGGTCGGTCTAAATCTCCCAAACGGACCTCACGCCCGGTAAATAACAGATCTGTAAAAGAGAATATTCTCTTGATATGTATCGAAAGAAAAAAGAACGAACATTTCTGTTTTCGACGCTATTAATTCAAGACATTGCTTTTAATGATGTTAATTGTTTAAAAAGAGATATCTTTCAGTGGTATTTTAGTCCACACGAAAACAAGTACGCTACGCGAGCCTATGATTAATCTCGCCCTTCGTCTGTGTACGACCGGAACGATAATAATTTTGCAAAGCTCTTGATGGTGAATATTTATTACCATTTGTGGATCGATCCTGTTCTGTTTGTTTGTCCTCTTCGCCCTCAATTTTCACTTTCTTCGCGGGTGGCCCATAAGACATTCCTATGAAGGGATTTTTCTGCAGTTCACCATTTGAAATTTCTCCATAAATCCACTATTGAGAAAAAGAACGAAGTTAATAACAACAGTTGGTGTAAAAATTCGTGGGTGCAATTGTTGAATAGATGATTTATACAAGAAAAAAAAAAGATTCAATTATTTAGATCACTTTTGGTTTTTGAAGTTCGTTTTTTTCACACCGAAAGCATCTTTGCGCAAATTTTACTCCGTATACCGTAAAATTTTATTTATTAAATATATGAACCGTTCTTGATCCGCAGACACACACACAAGAAAAAAAACAGAACAACAACAACAACAACAATAAACAGGAAAATCTCTTGTTCTTTAGCATTTCGCCCATTAACCAAATATATTTGCTGCCTGATGTTATATATACTCCAACTCCTGAATGCGTCATTTCAATACTGCAACATCTACAGAATATTTATTGTGGACACCTCTTCGCCCAGAAGTAATTAATCACAAAACTATCTATGTACTACCGTATACTTTTTTCATTCTCTGATTAGGGACCAAAAAAAAAATACATAAGAAAAATAACACAAAACGAAAAAAAGGCGGCGTCGAACGAATTCGTGGATGCTTGCTACTTTTTGGCCCAAATCCGTAGATCCGGCGAGGATTCATAAGCCACCCAAGAATGAAAAGGAAAATTAGCTTTTGAAAAGGTCGTTCACAGCACTTGCGTGACGATTGAGATTAAGTATTAAATTTAATATCAGAAAAAAAAACAGCTTCGACATGTGGAGACAGATTGACCTTTAGAGTGTGTTTAACCTCCTCGCTGACTGAAAGCTTGGGCAAAGCTAGTTATTTCGTTCGCCGGAACAGGCGTTCGGAATCGGTCTCTGTGGTTTTTCTCTTCTATTTTGCTTGGAACTGACTATCGTTTATCAGTAAACGTTTACGGTATGAAACAAAAGTATACACTTGTGCGATAAGAAGGAAATAATCACGGTCAAAAGTCATTTGTCGATAATCATGAAATCGCTTCGATTCAAGTCTTGTGAGGAAGTAAAAATTTGTTTATGTCCAGCCGAAATCAGTGGTTGCGAACCTTGAAGATATGAGTTTTGTAAATTTTCATTTGAAAAAGAAACATCCCACAGCACGATATTAAAAAACTAGAATTGAAAACAGTTTCTTCCCTTGAAAAGATCTCTGGTAGCAATTATTACACTCTAACTGAATATCGATTTCGAGAATCCATATTGCTAACGATCGGCGAAAGAATATCAAATCGAGATGTTACCAAAAAGCCGCTATGATTTTTTAAATGAAGAACAAACAATACTGAGATAAAAACAGTTTGTTAATTTTTTTCTCAAATCAATCGTCACGTTATTTGCCAGGACGATCCAGAAACAAGGAATGAAGTGAGGCGGTGTCCGTTTTCCTGTTTCGCGTTGAGCGAGAATAATTTTTTCATGACGTCAATTTCGGACTTTGGTCAATTTAACTGTTACAATGAACAAAAAAGAAGTAAAACAAATGACAGAAAAGCCTTCAAAGAAAATGCCACGATGTGCGACCCTTGCAGGATGAGGTCGACTGCTTTTGTCATGATCATCTCAGCCTAGTGTGAAATGTGAAAACAAATCCGCTTTGGGCAAGACATAGAAAAGCAGTAATAATATTTCTTTTCGAAATCGTAAATCATTAAAAACTCTAATGGACGCCCGGGAAAAGGGTAGCGCTCTCGAATGTTTCGCCTTCCACGAAGGAAAAAAAGACTTAGAACAAACAAAAGTAGCTAAATGGCATCAAAATGTTATGAAATCAATTCATAAATTAAAAGCTATTTTGGGAACCAACCGCGAAGCAACACGGAAAGCGTGAAAAGCTTCGTCTTTCCGGCCGTACACAAAACTTAACAAGATCCATCGAAGCCTAGACGTGAAATACCGACGGAGCCAAATGCTTTTGAATGACCGATATAGCGTGAGTGTAATTTCCTTCCATCACGCTGATCTATACGCTTGAGGTGTTTCAATGTCTGAATATTCAATAACCTTTGGGTTCAGACACTTTCGGTTTGGAAAAACGACTTTATAGGGCTTGAATTTCCTGCTTAATCACATTTTTCAACAAGATGAAGGGTTGATTAGGTTTTTCGAAACTTTTGCTCGAAAATGAAAGATTTCTTGCGAAATCTTAACGCAGAAAACCGAAAGGATCGCGTTGTAGCGCGTGAAATACTTGACCTCGTTTCCATGTGAAGACTTGTTTTGCTTCTTTGGTTCTTCAGCTCCATTGTGCTTTGTTATATCTTCACAAGACATGTTGCTTGTTCCTCCTCCTGTAAATATCGCCTACAATAAAGAGAAGAGATGGCAAGCGAGTTAGTACGCGACAAGTCCTCCTTAAAAATAAACAAGCGCTGAAAAAGAAGAGACCCCGTTGAAAACTGAACTGCCGGGTGTTAAGTGTGCGCTAATATAGAAAACACAACTCACTTTTAAGTTGGCCAGAAAAAAACCGAAAGTTCAAACTCGAGTAAACGAAACGCGAAGAAAATCTAACCCCGCTTAAAGTTCATCAAGAGTTTTGAACGATGTCGAGAAAAGTGCCGAGAAAAACTGCAGTTTGGAAGTTTGGCGTTCAGTGCAAGGCCACTCCACGCAGAAATGCAAAAAAATTGTTCATCCGATACGAAATGTCTGTCAATCATTCACTTACAAACAAAAGCCCACGTGATAAGAGTTATTGTTATGCAAAATGCCTGGAATCTTCGAAGCGCTGGCGGAGTTATTTGAATAAACGTTGAATTTAAATCAAAATAAAGATATCGGTAACTACCTGCTTGGATCAGTGGCTTTCTTCTTTTAATGAAGAGGGTAGAAAGTGTTTAAACACTAGTTGTTGATGGCTTGATGTGAGCGCTATTCTAAGTTATCCTCGCCTAACGGGAAGTTGAGCTTGAAATTTAATCTGGGGAACGATTATTCAGATTAAAATAAAACCGCAGAGAAAATAATTCGCAACATTGGACAGAAGATGATGAAGCAAAATAATTCCTTACATAACTTTTCAGCTTATTTCCTTTCCCACTTTATTACGACTCGTTTTCCAATTACATAGGAAAACCAAAAGAAGAAAACGCTGCCATGAAAACCAAGTGTGTTTCTGTGACCTAGAAATGCTCAATTGTTTTTCGTTTTCATTGCGCGTTCTTGAAAAAGAAGAATTTTAATTACTCTAAACTGTCGTTGGACCTTTGACATCAAAAGCGACTCTGTTTTTCAAAGGATTTTTTTTAATTTAAAAAGAAAAGGGAAATATTGCAAACCCACAAAGATTGTTCAGATTCGCTGAGCTTTTCTTACAGACGAAAACGGGTTTGAGGGAAGTTTCAGACAAAGCGGAAAAATAGAAACCAAACAACCTCCCGCGGGAGAAGAATTCACGCCACCAACCTACAGAGCGTTTAAAAATGATGAATTGTTTTTCTTATCTGCTTCTTTTTGGTGACGTGTTGAATTGGAGCGACTAGCCACACAGCCTCAAGGACGGTAGATTTTCGAGAAGGAAACAGATGTTGAAAATTCCTATTTGCATCTTATGCCAAATAACCAGAAACTCAATAAAAAAATTCAAAATCATGATATGGTTGTGTAAGTTATCTCGTGTGGATCTCTCCCACTGAATGAAAGGTTTACTCTAAATGGTTGTTGCGTTTTCGAATTTCCTCGTTATCAAACTGAAGAAAAAAGGAAGTTTCCTCAGTGAAAGCGAAAACAAGTTGCTATAGCGGTTTAAACGTGGCTACTTAATTAAAGGGTAGATTGAAGACTCGTCGTAAGTTAAGTAAATTATTCACATTCGTTTTGCTTGTGAATATCGCCGCTGTCTGGTATTTTCTAGCCTAAATGATTCGAACTTACCCCGTCGTTTTTGGAATGCGTTCCCTGTCGTTGTAATTTTTGAAACATAGAAAGGAAATGCGATTACGTTGAGGTTTTTAACCAGGAAACTGTTCAAAAAGCGAGGAATGTTATCGGGAATAACATAGTGGAAAGCGCTCAAGGGGTAAGTCATGAATTTTAAATTAGAAGTCGAATAATTCTGGCGAGACCTAAAATGCTGTGATCAATTATCAGCTTTATGCGTTCAGGTTTAGTTACTAAAACCATTTAAATCTGTTTTGATGGATATGACTATGCTATTTATTAAAAGCCATCTCAAGTTCAGCTTCCCACGGCCGTGTAATGATTGTTGATAGGTACCTTTCAAAATGAAACATAAAACGATGTGTTGTAGGTTTTGTTAGCTTTACATTTTCATTGATGGGCAATGCTTTTCTCTTTTTCAAGGGAAATACAAATTGAAACCAACTCATCAAAATGATTGGAAAATAATCAATTAGAAAATCAGGAAGGTTGATGAGCGTTAGAGACTTTGTTTCATTTTATTTCACTTATTTTTGTTTTGCTTTGTTTTTTTCATTAAAACGGCGTACTTCAGCCGATAAAGTTGATAGTGCACGTCCAATATAGAGCAGTCAAGAAGCCAAGTTTTTTAAACGATATTAAACAGGGATGCTTAATCATAAATCTGCTAAAAAAATTTTCAAAGGGCCGGAAACTCTTACATAGGAGAGCCCGCTTCCAAGTGTGAATATGACGTAAATCTGTCTACTGGGCAGCACAGACGAGCAGGGGTAGGCGGTCTTACAGGTAAGCGTGATGTATTTTACCATCGACTCATTCAGGCGACATTTTGTCGAAGTTTTGTGGAGAGAAGCCAAAAGATTTTACCAGTTGAGAGAGTTGGCGGCCCCCTTCAGATTTTCAAACAAGAGTGTTCGCATTTATCAATCATAGTTTCGTTTCGGTTTGTAAGTTGAGGCGAGGCCTTTTACTCAAAATTTCAAAGTATAGTGTTTGCACTATGGCAAAAATTTAACCAGAGATAGAGACATACTTAATAGGAGCTTTTTTTTGTCGCCGGAAGTGGCGCTGCACCACCTTATGTATTTGCTGTCTGTGAAGAGTCGTGGAAAAAAAAAGAACTTGAAAAAAAAAGCAACAGTTTCTTTCCGCAACAGCGAATTTGACGTTTTTGTTTCAAAACAGTCAAAATAGCCGTTAGAATCCAAAAAAAATTGTGATTTTTATAACTAAAATGTATAATCTCCTCCTCGACGGGGTCCCCCCCCCTCTCAGAAGAAGTAAGGGGCTGGTTCTCAGGCACCGTCTGTTTCCTGATCAGTAAGGATTAGTACATCACCAAAGGAAACATCTTGTGAATTTTCATGACTCGGTTTAGTAGGTGTAGTGCGAGTAATATCGTTTGATAACAAAAGAAGTATCAAGTGTTCCTTCGGGCGCCTGGGAGAAACTGTTCAGCTCTGAATTCCATCGACCGTCTGTTTACTTTTTGCAACGAAAACTTACGCTTTTCATGTCAAATTTTGGTAGATTTGCCGGGAAAAGAGGCGTAAGTATCGTTCATTGGTGACTTCATCAGCGTTTGCTGAAACCTAAGCAACCATGATATATTTGTATATTTTATGTTGCGTAAGTGTTTCTTCGTCGAATCTCCTCATAGAAAGTGGCTGTCCTCAACGTGGCACTGTATTTTGCATCTTGAGCTCTATTTGTGAAAATTCTCTAAAGATCATTTTTGACAGAATATTTTCTCTTTCTGGGAATGTACTCAAATTGCTTTAAGTTTTGCGCAAGGAAGTTAAAACTTGCTAAGCGTCTATCCCTGATTTCCGATGATTGAAATTCTTTCCGGTTTGTGTTTTTGTTTCAGATGACACAACAACAACAGCAGCAAACACCCCGAGTTCAACAGGCTTTACATATCTAACCGCATTTTGATAAAAACCATACTTTTTTTGCATCGTTAGAATGACTTTTTGATCGTGAAGTCTGATCTTCCGGTTGAAGGTAGTCCTGAGAAGGACTGTTGTCGGTAGAGGTGAAGTTTCGACGACTTGAGCGGAAGTCACTTGACTCTGATGATAACTTCCGCTCAGGTTGTCGACTCGTCAGTTACCACTTTCGACAACAGTCCCTCTCAGAACTACTCTATTACTATTACAGACCTCTAGCTCTATCACTCCCGGGTTCAAACCATTTACTGAATACTGTTTCTAGTGCTCGGCTTTGAACATCTCTAAATATAAGCAAGATTCGAACAAATGCAATGTAATATGATGTACTGAGTTTGTTAACGTGGAATTTTAGTTGCATGAAAAGTTGAACCCCGATAACGCAAACCCTCGATAACTCGAATTCCCCGCTAACTCGAAGCAAAACTGATTTCCCTTAGATTTGCCCCATATATTTACTGTAATTTTAACCCCAATGGCTCGAAACCCCGATAACTCGTGGCGATTTTTACTTCCCTTCAAGTATTTTTCTTTGTAATTTTACCCTCGATAACTCAGTCGATTTTCACTTTTGCGGACTAATGAGCCATAACATTTTGAACCGGTAGATTACATTTAATCTCATTTATATATTACGAAAAATTGACCTTTGTCGATATCACACGTTTGTATGTTCGTATACAAACAGTTTTGACAGTTCTTCCCGGCGAAGAGAAATAATAGATGACGCGTAATCTGGAGTCGACCTGTCGTTTGTCATTACTTGTCAATCTTGCCCAGTTCATTCTTGAGAACAATAACATGTTTCTTCTTCCCCTCAAAATTGAATAAGCAAAACTGATTTCCCCTAGATTTGCCTCATACTTTTACTGTTATTTTAACCCCTATAACTCGAAACTCCGATAACTTGAAGTAATTTCAATTTCCCTTAGCAATTTGAGTTGGGAGCTGTCACATCCCGGGCGTCGAACCGGGAAGGAAAAAATAGTCCGAAATATGAATAGTCAACGGTGAAACAATTTTAATACTTCATATAGAAAGAGATCATTTGTAGTTGCAGAAAACAATCGTGTTGTAAAGCCGAAATATTTCCAAGTTACATTTCTCAAATTAAAAAGTTAAATAATTTTCCAAAAGCTTTGACAGTGACAATACTTTTCACTTCTATAATAACCAACAGAGGCATCTGGAAAGGCATCGGTGACACCGGGAAAGGTATCAAGAAGAATGATATTTACGGTTTTTAACTTGCTGTGTGACGAAAAAAAAAGTATCTTGACCGGCTTCCGCTTGTTTAAGGCATTAATCACAGTTGGCTTGCTTTCCACTTGAATTTTGTAATCTTGACTGTTTTTTCCGGAAAATGAGAAGCTAAGCAACTCAACAAAAATGTAGTTCTCGATTTTTACATTTTTTGAGCCTTTAATAAGTTTGTATCCACCCATTAAAGCATGTATGTAAAGTCAACACTTTTGAAAAAATTGCTTAACTTTTTATGTCGCGAAGTATACTGTTAACAGTGAAAGATGTTTTTCGTCTCTTCACAAGTGTGGGACAAAGAGAAAATTCTGAGCCGCCACGAGGAATCGAACCTCAGACCTACAGATTCCGCGCTCCGATGCTCTACCACTGAGCCACAGAGACTCTACGGAGAGCGAGGTCTATTGCGAAGTTCATATGACGCGCGTCCTGCATACTGCTAGGATCAGCAATGTCGATAGCGTCATGTTTGTGAATAGATTAAGAGAGATGGTAAGGTTTTGAGCTCGGTAAAGAAATAGAGAAATATTTTTCTCTTTGTCCCACGCTCGTGACAAGACGAAAAACATCTTTCTTTATTTCTTCACCGAGCTCAAAACTTACCATTTCTCTTATTCTATATAATGTTATCATTTTATGATTTATAACACAATTATTTACTGGAGCAACAAACGTTTTGTTTCTACATGTGATACTACAACTATTTCATCGATGACGACTCATATTTCGGACATTTTTTCTTCTCCGGCTCGTCGCCCGTGATGTAGTAATATCGGGGTTCAGCTGTAGCGAAAAAAATTGGGGAAGCTTGGACAAGGTATCTGTTTTTCATACTGCGCACGGCTTTGTATGGTGCATAAAACGAGACAATTTTTGACCAGGAAACCAGAAATTCGACGAATATTTATGACTGTGGCTAGAGTGAACATGCAGAACACGTATCTGGCCGAGGCATGTAGCAAAGAAGAGATGTGCCAAAACTTTCTAAGGCCAAGGACGCGTGTCATATATGCACTTCGTAATAAGCACTGCTCATTACGCATCGGAGCGCAGAATTCGAAGGTCTTTGGTTCGATTCCTCCTAGGAACTCAGAATTTTTTTCTTTGTCCCACGCTGGTGACAAGACGAAAACCATCTTTCTCTAATTTTTGGGTTTATTCCATCTTTTTATGTGAAAAGTAGTCAGTTACATGGGTGATAAAGTTGAAGATTGTTTATACTTTTCGCTCTTTTTTTACCTTGACAATCTTTCTGTTTGAACTCCACCAGAGATGAAGTGTATCTTTCTCAATCCTGTTGTGAGACTCTGAAACAATCAAAGTCTCACATTTATGCAAGTGAAATGCCTATGGGTCCCAAAGGGCCAAAGCCCTCTTTTGCTTGTAACTCTTTACAGTGACCAATTTACATCATCAACTCAGTTGATAAAACCAAATTATCTTGTTATACTCCCCCACCGACGCAGCACCTCCGTATCTTCACAACTCTTAACAGTGGCTGATTTACATTATTAACTCAGTTGATAAAACCAAATTACTTTGTCATACTCCCCCACCGACGCAGCACCACAGTTTCTTCAGAAACTTACCCCCTTAACGCAGCATCGCAATTTTCTTTAGAAACACGCAGCACAATAGTTTCTTTAGAAACTTACCCCTTCAGTCATTTATTTGCATGTGCTATTTTCTGAGTGGAGGACTCAAGGGAATACCTCTATTTGTCTTTTGTACATTATGCGTACCTAATCACGTCAATAGGGCAAAATTTGAAAGAAAGAGTTCTCTAGAGTACAAAGACATGACCAACGTTGGGAAAATAAGGCATACAAGCAAACGAAGTCTATTGTTCTTGGATAAAGGGGGTAAGTTTCTAGAGAAACTGTGGTGCTGCGTCGGTGGGAGAGTATAACAGGGTAATTAAGTAGTATCGACTAAGTTCGTCTTCTCGGATAGGACGTAAAACCGTAGGCCCCGTCTCCTGCAGGGTTGGGGTAGGAGACGTTAATTTCCCACGCACGAGATTACTGTGTGGTGGATGTCCTCCCCTGGGGTGGGATGGGTGGAAGAGACACATGGCACATTTGCATTTAAACGAGCTATTCGCTCATATGCGATATGTGGTTAAATAAAGTTACTTACTTACTTAAAGTTACTTAAGTTACTACGTAAATTGGCCACTGCAAAGAGTTTAAAAGCTAACGTTTCGACGCTCGAATTACCCTATTGTTCTTGGAGTTGAGTCAAAATTGCGGATCTGAGATGTCTCTTGTAGCTCAGGGTTCTGATTAATCTCTGCTCTTACAAGGATCTTGGATACGAATCCCGAGGGAGCGTGTATGGGCGCCCATAAGCGTGCTCTGACCATGTTCCTAGACCCGCATGGGTGTCAAATTCGGTTTACGCCACGTACCACGCACCATGGTAAAACCGGCGTAAAAAGTTTCAAGATGAAAAGGGGATTACGTGCCTTGGAAGTCTTACCTCTTTTGTCATGTTTCACACACGACTACGTACTTCTTAAGGTTGTCATGGCCTCCGGCCTGTTACAGTTTGAATATTGGCTTCTAATCATCGCCTAGCCCGCAGAGCAGGCGTTAATTTGGCGAACGAGTGCTCAGTTTTTTCGTAACGTAAATTTTGCCCGCCATCTTTGATTTTAATGGCCGCGGAAGGCTGGGGAAAGAAATAAATGTGTACTATGGGGGCGGTCGACGGTCAAAAAAATAAATAAATAAATAAATAAGGAGAGGGGTAGGGTGGGGGAGGGGAGATTACGCCTGCCCAAAGTTATTGTTATTTTGCAAAACTCTGATTGGTGCGGTTAAGCTCCGGCTGTCAATCACAAGCCACATGTGTCTTGGGGGAGAAAGAGAAAGATAGCAAAGATATTACTTCCGCTCTAGCTCGCGATGAAGCACTTACATGTCTTTCGGAATTTAATATGTATCGCGCATTAAAATCGGAATAAAAAGAAGCAATTTCTACCCCTGATATTTCAGGCGTTGGTTCTAACGAAAGAAATTAAGACGGGCGGAAACCTTGGAGCGTGGTTGTTGTTTGTCCGCTTCCACGTGTATTGTTTATGATCAAATGGAATAAGCAGCTTTGATCGGATTAACGGTGGCTTATGCTAGCGGATTGTCATTTGGAGGATAAATATCAAGTCGTATTTGCGCCAGCAGAGAACGTTTTGGCTAAGCCATTTTTTCCCTGATGAAAAAAAAAACAGCCACACCGTTTCACCAGAGTATGCCAGTTTGCATCAAACAAATTGTGGCGGGTAAACCTTCGAGTGCAGTTGTTTGTTGCTCCAAAGTATCGTCTACGATCAAATAAAAGAAAAGAGAAAATTGTGAAATAGATCAACGTCAGCGATACTCAAGGATTTTCATTTGAAAAATATAGAGTGCAGCAAATATCGGCTCATATTTGTGACCGCGGAGGAGGTTTTACCGAAGCCATTTCTTTCTAGCGGAAAGAAAAAAACTGCCTCACCGTTTTAGTGGGAAAACAGAGCTTCCGGTTTTTAATTTAACTCATTTTTATTGGTTACCTGCCTATTTCCGGAAATGCAGTGAAGCGCAAATAATCAGGGGGTGTATCTCAATGAAGTTAAGTGAAATGTTAATGGACGTATTTTTTTGTTCCCATGGGCCGTTTGAAACGTCTTTTTACGAAATTACTGGAGGCCGTTAAGAGAAGAAAAGGAGAACGGCCCCATTAATTTCGTAAAATGACGCTTCAAACGGCCCATGAACGCGAAAAAAATACCACAAATACGTCGATCAACATTTCATTTAACTTGATTGAGATATTCAGATCGAGATGGTCACCGAAATAGTTAAGATATGCAAGTTTCAGAGCTCTCTTCATAACCCTCATAGATTTTGTTCGTCTCATGTCAACATTTTATCATCACGAACTCATAGTGTGGTCTAACTGTGGCATTTCGCTGCTCCTGTGAACAGAGGTATGAACTGACCTGGTCTAAAACCTACTTCCATCGTTGCTTCTTTGAACACTTTCATGCTCAGTTTGTTTTCACCTGTTCACGCTCATTACGCTTTTTAATCTGACAACATATTGTGAATTTCGTACCGCCCACAAACGCTGATGGAAGCGACAATTAGTGACAGTTTGTTTTTATCACATCGTTTTGGAAAGCCTCCTTCTCCTGGATTTTCATTTGAAAAATATAGAGTGCAGCAAATATCGGCTCATATTTGTGACCGCGGAGGAGGTTTTGCCGAAGCCATTTCTTTAGTGTGGTCTAACTGTGGCATTTCGCTGCTCCTGTGAACAGAGGTATGAACTGACCTGGTCTAAAACCTACTTCCATCGTTGCTTCTTTGAACACTTTCATGCTCAGTTTGTTTTCACCTGTTCACGCTCATTACGTTTTTTAATCTGACAACATATTGTGAATTTCGTACCGCCCACAAACGCTGATGGAAGCGACAATTAGTGACAGTTTGTTTTTGGAAAGCCTCCTTCTCCACTTTCCAGCGTCTTGTTGTGGATTCTAGGTAAAAACGAAAGATAAAAAGGCGAAAAAAAGTGTGTTTTAAAACGAAAGCTTTAGCGCTCAGAAGGCCCCTAGTTTTGTTATCTAGACACAGTTGGAGTCCTAGAGACTTGAAAGACTGGCGCAGGATTTTCTATTTGAGTCAATATCTTTGCACACAAGATTTTCGATGTCTAGAGAGAATGCCTAATTTGTCCATCCTTTTCTTTTATTCAACGGTCTGAGAAATGGTTAAAATATATCAAAGTGCATTTCATGTTTTGCACGTTTATGTTTCTCAGCAGCCTCCCACACGCAGCTTCAATTTTGATGAGCTCTCCTCCCTTTCCTTGCTCAAACTCTAATAATTGTTTTCTAGTTTGTTTTTAACCAAAGAAATTCTTACTGTGCACTGTTTCTGATATGCTGAGTACCAGTTCGAAAGAACAATTAGAATTAGCTTTTTAACCTGCAGAGCAGGTGTAGTTTTGGCAAACAATTGCACAGTAATCTCTTTGTGAGCATTAGAGCTGCTATCTTTTATTTTAACAGCAGCTGAAGGCTGGGGAGAGAAATAAATTTGTACTAAGAGGTGGGTGATAGTCAAAGAGAAGGAATGGGGAAGGGGTGGGGCAAAGAATATTACATATTTGACCAGTCTTAAACAAGCTGCTTTAAGGGATGCTAATTAGAACATTTACAGTCTACCAAATGGTATATGAAGACAGTATTTTTATTCCTGAGTTATATTCTATCCTGGGGTAAGGAAAAAGGCAGAAAAAGGAACTGAGAGAATTATGAAGAGATGAAGAAAAAGAACACATATACATACATTCTACAACCTTTACTCATACATGATGAAAATCAAAGCTTCAAGCTTGTGGGGTTGTATAAAAACGAAAAAACTGATGGAAACTGTTAAATATTCACAAACTAAAAGCTAAGTTCAAGGATTGTTTATGAATCATATCCTATTAAAAATTCTTAAGTCTGTGGGTCACTGTTTGATGGGTTTGAAAAACATAAGCAAAAACCCTCAAAGTATACCACCTTGTCCTGTTTTTCATAAGAGAACTGACATCTCTGCAGTCTAAACAAACCACAAGAGAATGGTAAAGGCCACAAGAGAGGATGGAAAGAGTGGGCACTGATGTTAGATGGATAAGAAATCAGGGTCTCAAGGAACCCTCAACAACCAAAAAAGTTTGTCCGCAACTTTGAGTGAGAGGGGGGGAGGGTGGTTTAACCTGGAATGAGGTCTTACATGATTCAGCATAATACTACCACGAGATACAAGGAAAATGGACCAAAAGAATCTGGCCATTTATCAGCTGCCACTTTCAAACAAATGAAGAGCTATGTGGATGATAAATGCTGTTCACTATACCAGACCAATGGTTTGTCAAATAGTTACACATAGATTTGTCAATTAGTTTTACATGACACCCCAAGAAGACTACAGCATCCTCCTTCCTCCTAAAAGGCTGTTAGGCAGGGGAGGTAAACATTGTTGGGGTATAGCTTTCATCTCCATGGTCTGAAATGGGTTAAAAATTTTAAGATCTTGTTCCCTGTGGAACCACAGTCTTGAGTTAGATTGAGTCACTTATGTCTCTTAAAAACAGTCTAAAAAAAGGGCAAAGAAAATGACAGTGTGATAAAACAAATACCCTCATCAAAAATCAGCTTTTTATTTTGACCAGAAGAAACCTCTGTTCTTGTTACATTTGGTGCTGTGTTATATTTGGCATGAAAAAAAAATCATAATTTTCATGTTATTGGTATTAAAAGTAACTTTGTGACTCAGAACAACTGGCCTCTTATAATTCTCACCAGGAAAATAATAACTTTTTCACAGTTGCAAGAAATTATGCTCAAGAAAAATTGTTAGGGTTCCACATTTCAAGATGATTTTCATTATATCCCATTATTGAAGTCCAACATATTTCAGGGAGCTGTGGTAAAATGACAGTCCATCACAGCTATTCCCAACATCATATTCATTTACCACTAGAGTGAAAAGATCAACTCCCAATATCTGATAATTGTTAATTCTCTCCTCTGGCAGCAACAGATTTTCATATAAATTAGTTATGAGAATTTGGTGCTAGATAACTTCTACCTGATAAGTTACTTGTTTACTGGATAATGAACAGATATTATGGGGAGAAGTTACAAGTTAATCACTTCTGGGAGTTATGGTATTAAGAATTATTGAAACTACAAGAGGCATTTGTTATCAATTTTAAATTATAGGTAGATGAAGACAAATTTAACAGTCAAACTCAGGAAACAATAAACACCACGAATATGTGTGTCCATGAAGAAACCAATTAGATGTGAATAACCAAAACTTTAAGTCTATAACTCCTATGAGTGACTCACACAGAATTTCTCCTTACAATATCAATACAATATCAAGTATACAAGTGACAAGAATAAAAAAAAACATATCAGTTAAGGGATTACTAGTTGATCCAACATCAAATTCTCCAAAAACATTGTAAGAATTTTATGGCAGACAGTAGGGAGAATTACTAATAAAATCTTGGGAGTGGAAGAGTTGAGCAAATAATGTAGTTATTTTGTAATTTCTAGATTTTTGCTGTTTCCCAATGTGATTGGTCACAACAAATAATGTTCCTAAAAATATTTAGAGTTCACTGTTCTCTGCATTGTACAAAAAGAGTTAATATTAAAACAAAAATAAATAAAATAATAGCATTTCATTGATGTTTATTTCAGTAGGAACATTTCACAAATTATTTCAACTGGAATCTTCCAAACTTACTGCCATTAATTTACTTTTTACATGGCTGTTAGCCTGACATTTTACTTACAAAACAGACAGACTTTCACTGAATACAAGATCCAAAACAAAAAAAGAAAAAAAAATTAGAACAGTAAAAAATTCAAAATATCTTCCTCATCTTAGCCACAACTTCAGTCTCAGTGCATCAACACCATTAAGATAATACCTAAACAACCTTTTGTCACGGACAAATCCCAGGTTCTCATAGAGTCGCAGAGCTGCTGTGTTGGTTACCTCTGTCTCAAGTACAACCTGAAGTAAAACAACATGTGAGCCAAATAAGGAATAGCACATGGGAATGTGTACATATGGAATTTTCCTTTGAGTGTTCAACATGATATCTCACAAGTTGAACACAAGAGGATAGATTCCACATCTACCATCAACCACATGGGAGGGGGGGTGTGGGCATTATTTTGTTTATTTCATAACCACCAAAGGTCTTTCCTAAGAAGAAAAGTAGACTTCATTAATGAATGAAGCTGGGTGAACACTTTGCTATTCATTCACCACCCTGACAGAGTGGCACAAAAGGTGAGTGGCAAGTCAGCAGCTGATTGGTGATATCACACAAGTAAAAAATTATTTATAGCACATAAGTTTTAGTGAAGTCTCATAAGAAAAATACCAAAGAGATTCTGGTAAAGGTGAATAAGAAAGGGCTAAGTTTAACCCTGTAAGCCCTAACATCAGTGTGCATATTCTCCATACTGTTCTCTATACATTTCCTAAGTTGCTGAAAGGGAGACTTTGTTTAACCAAGAGTTGGTGATCGTTTAGTCTGTTCTTGTGACCCTAAGTGTTTGATTCAGAGGTTATATTGTATGGAGATATTAGAAGCTAATCACTCTGCAGGGTCTAGGGGTTAAATAAAGAAACCCAACAGGGTCAGGCAAGCATTTGTGATTGGTGCATCCAAACTTAGTTTAAATTTGTATCAGATTGGTCTGAAATGGGGTGATGATTCAGAATAATTTTAACCAATCATAGCATGTAATGCAGCCAAACCAATTGGAAGCATTTCAGATGTCACTTACATTTGGCACTAAGTCAACTTTCACAATAGTAGCTCAGTCTTTCAACTAACATACACAATTTTGAAAGGTTGGCCATGAGAGAAAGAGATGATTAGGAAGAAGTAAAGCAAAAAGCCAGTGTTTTGTTTACCAAAGCAATAAAATACAAGAACTCTGGCTAGTATTTATGAGAAGATTTCTTAATGGTGAATGCCCTGTCTATGACTTCCACCCTTTCCTGCTAGAGATCTTTGAAATTTCATAAAATAATCAAACAAAGATAGTTGAAGACTTAAGAAGAAATTAGAGTGCGATTCTTACTTCATCACAGCTATCTTCTTGCATTGCCTTGATTGCTCTTACCACAAGATTTGAACCTGAAATAATGGAAAGGCAGATAAAATATCCACTCCTACAAAACTGCTTTACTCTAATTAGAGTACAACTGAGTATAATTTTATTATCAAGCCAATGACATATTCAGAACTGATAGTTCCATGCAATATGAAAATTAGCAGGGTTGAATTCTTTTGTTAAGGGGGATGGTGGGTGGGTGTGAGTGGGGGTGGGGTTCCAAAGAAACTGTGGTGCTGTGCTGGTAGATAGGTGGGTAGGGGTATTACTAAATAATTTGGTTTCATCAGCTGCATTGATAATGTAAATTGGTCACTGTAAAAAGCCGAAGACAAAGGGCTGACACTTGAACTGTCAGCTTTGAAAACTCTTTACCATGGTTTATTTACATTGTTAACTCTGTTGATAAAACTAAATTATCTCTTAATTATTGTACTTTGGTACAAGCACAAAAGTAGGTTCCCACAGACAAAAATCCACACAAAAAATAATAAATACGCTATAAATGCAGTCAGGGTTTTTCTACCTTCAGTCCAATAAAACAATCCACATGCAGGTAAAGTGAACATTAAAATTAAAAACAGTTTTACCATCCTTTCACAATACAAGAGAGTGGATATATTTTAATGGTAACCAGTCAACTCGCCGACGGACCAACTCGCCGACGCCAACTCGCCGACGTATAAAATCGAGTAGAGACGTCGGCGAGTTGGTCGTCAATCCAATACAACTTATTAGAAGTTAAACATACAGAGAAGTAAACGATATTTAGTAAAAAAACACTGGCGAACATTGGTGAACATCAAACAGAAGCTTAAACATCGGTGAACATTGGTGAACATCACCAATGACTATAACAGCTTAAGACAAGCCAAGTTTTCGTTAAAAAAACTGAGCGATTGACATGATGAGTCTTTACGGTGTTGTTGTCACACAATAACTCGTTCGCGTCTGAAGCTGTTAGAGTCGTTGGTGAGGTTTACTTCGCTTTATTCGCCTTAAGATCCTTATAAACTTTGTTGCAAATAGAAAGAAATGCTTTTTACTAAAGATCTTGTCTAGAAAGCCACGTTTTCGTTAAAAAATCTGAGCGATTGACATGATGAGTCTTTACGGTGTTGTTGTCGCACAATAAGCTGTTATAGTCATTGGTGATGTTCACCAATGTTCACCGATGTTTAAGCTTCTGTTTGATGTTCACCAATGTCCAATGTTTTTTTACTAAATATCGTTTAATTTTCTGTATGTTTAGCTTCTAATAAGTTGTATTGGATAGACGACCAACTCGCCGACGTCTCTACTCGATTTTATACGTCGGCGAGTTGGCGTCAGCAAGTTGGTCCGTCGGCGAGTTGACCGTAAACCATTTTAATGTTTACAGGTATCCAAAACATTACCCAAAGACACATCATTGGCACATCTCAGATGATGCTCTTCTGCTTGGGGTACTAGTAAATTGTCAACAAGTAGCTTTTTTGACATTTTTTCCATGCTTTACCTCTGAGAAACCATCAAAGTGGCTGAAAGGGAAGTTTACAAAACAGCTTACCTATTTTCTGCCGTCTATATTCCTTCTCAACAGCTAACATAGCAATGTACCCTCTTCGTACCATGTTCTTGTGCATGTCAAGCTTGCACACAATGGCACCAACGCAGTTGTCACCGTCCATTGCCTGCAACAAAAGATACATACAAAAAAATTGCAACTTCTATTTATAAAATGACTAATCAGAAAATGGAATCTTGTATATGGCAGAAAGACTAGTCATTGAAGCAAACTATGCAAAGTATAATAACCAGTCAGTTACATTAAAATCTATTGGAGCTGATGCCTTTCAGTACAAAAGTCTCAAAATGATGTGTCAACTGCACGCTACTAACATTATACAAAATGAACACTGGTGCAAACTTTTTAAAAATCAAATTATACAGATAGCATTATCCAAAAAGAATAATGGATCCAAAAATATTTATGTTAGACTAGATGCATGTGGTTAATTTAACTTTTTGAGAACAAAATTATCACAGTAATATGTTAGAAAATGTATATTGTCTAAAAATAAGAGTTTCACACAGTTAATATTTTGTAGTAAGCAATAATCCAAGGTAGGATGGTCTTGAAACTTTTTTCCATATAAAAAGTTATAAATAACTAGACATCAATTCATGTGAATAATGAAGGTTTTACAACAAGATGACACCCAGCAGCATGGAGTGCTTATATACTCTTGAGGTTGTTAGTTTGAAATAGTCAAGAGAAATTCCATGCCATTTTATCATTTTTTTCTCTATTAAATTATTGACGAACCAGGTTTACAGAATAAATTGGCAAGACATAAGCCCTGATGTGGACCTGCACTGACTACAAAACAGTCCATCACTGTAGTATTAACTTATGGATAAGTAAATAGAGCAATTTTCAATTAAGTGTTGAAAGTAATCAGGGATTGCATTTGTTTTCATTTACTCTGCTCTGTAATTGGTACAAGAAACTTGCACAACTCTCTCAATCAATCTGATGCAATACTAAAACCAATCACTACTAGTGTCCTGCCTTTTCTCAGGTGTTAGGCAGTTTGGTTGTTTTTTTATACTGAGTTTTCATTGGTTCTTAGAGGTATTTTCCTCTGATCCAATCAGCTTTTGCGATTACTTTGGTTTCTGATATTGACACTCAGTTGAAGAGTAATCTTCTCATTAATGGCAACAATAATAAAAAGGATAACTATAAAGAGAAGTTGCCAAATGAAAAAGTCGAAAGTTTTGAAATCTGGAGATTTCTCAGAGGGAGCTTTCCACACTTGGCACTTATTGGGGTAATGCAGATCATTAAGTGTAATAATAACAAATTATGATAAAAAAGCAAATACTGCTGTACAAAATAAGGTAAGATTTTGGCATCTGAAGCTTGGCTTAACAAACCTTGTCCTAACATTCACTTAAAAATGAAAACAATCTTGTTGTCAGAAAGAAGCTGAATGTAAACTGATACCCTTTTCCATGATTGGTTTTTACTTTAATTCCTTTTCAGAATATGCAGAGTGATTTGAAGCCATTTTTCTGGTTATTCCATATCTCTCTCAAAAAGCAAAGTGTATGTGGATGTTCAACTAACTGTAAAAATATTAATTTTTTTTGTATCAAGCCACTATAAACTGAACTGTTTTAAGTATGACCAAACTCATGCTTAAAACTTTATTACTTATGCTCTCAAAGGATTATTTCAATCAACTTTTGATACCTTTAAGCTCTCACACATTCAGAATAATATGATGGGGCCTCTTTGAGAACTGTTCACATGTGGATTGCAAAATAGATCAAGAATTCCTACACCATAACTTCTTAGGGATCATTTGTCTAGAGGTAACACAGGAAGATTGAGGGTGCATCCTTAGGGGAAAGTATCCCCTTGGGGGAAGTATTCCCCCTGGGCACACATGGTTGATATCCAGATTTATCGAGATATGGTTAAAATTTCTTCAATCAGCACAACCTTCTCACGGACAGCTAGCTTTCAAAATTTGATTTTCCATGTCTATTATAGAGCCTCGCCAGAAAAAAGAATTTGTATAGTATCTATTTAAAAGTGATGTAGCCTACTCAACTTACCAAAAAACAGAGGTTTGGCCAGTTATGTATGAAATAACGATATGTGTAGATTGAATACGGCTCCGAAAGGTCCTTTGTTATAAGAGCCATAATTGCCTCCATTTGAAGTTCAGACTCGTAACTAACATAAGTTAAATTTGTACTTTTTTCACAAGGATCTCCAGGTCCGGCATGTTCCGCGGAGTTCTTCTTCTCTGAAGTTGACGGGTCATATCCTATCGGATCACTATGACCAGAGGTTACATGATTTTCATTCGTTGATGTACTTGGGCATGATTGAGTGTGGATCATTAGGCCGTTGAGATCTGTAAATTTCTTTGCACTGCATAATTTCTGCGGCTGTTCAGGATTGTTAATTTCCTCTTTCCCATGTAGAGACGTCGAACACTCGCCGTTGAGAATGACGTCTCTATCTCCTTCCTTCTTACTCTCTGCAGCTGTGGACTCCATTGGGAGGAACTGAGGTAAAAATCAACTGTTAAAATTAGATGGAATACAGCTTTCCACCATAAATGTAAGCTTTTATTGGGAAATGTCACCACAGTGGGAAACGTGACCATTCGAGGGCAAGTTCCTCCAGAAGGAAAACCGCCGCCATATTGAACTGTCTCGTTTTGCAAAGACTAGTGGGAAATTGAAATTACCTAGAACCAGGCCTACTCGAACGTGTTTCGAAACACAACATGGCGGGCAGCGAAGACGGAGGACCCTCGGACGAAAATAGTGAATGGTCTGATTTTAGTCGCAACAACTCCGCGATTGACACTTTTGACAATGTCCACTTTGGAGCTAAATCTCAGGACCCTACCAGTGTCATTAATACCCTTTTCACGTGTTTTCCCTTGCCATCAGTTTTCCAGTCAGCTGACTTTTTTAACGGAGCGCCTTGCGCCAACGAAAGGTTTTCAAACATTACACCAAATTTTCAATAGATTTTCATTGTGCTTGGTGAAATTCTTAGTTATCTTTGCGTCTTTTCGTTAGCAGAATTCTCGACCATGTAGATCCTGCATTGAAAACTTATGGCGAACCTTTGGTTTGGCGGGGATGTGAAACAGAACTGAAATTCTCCAAGGCGTTACATCTTCTACCGTGTGATGACAGAGTAAGAACATTTGTTTGAAATTTTTTATTTGTTCATTTTGATTTTACTACTGCTTTTAAATTGCTTTATGATTGGCTTATTTAGATGTTTTTCTCTCTGTCTTTGATGATACATTTTAGAGTACTATGTTTTGGTTATTTACTTTGGAACTCCAACAGAGCTGTTTTTTATACTGGAGATTGTACAAACGAACGTAATTGACCCCACACTGAATTGAATTCTCCTTTAGAATATTTAATTCTTAGTGAAAGTAGACTTGAATTACTCCTTGTTGTCACTGTAAAGCTGTCACTGATTTAAAATCAAGCAGTTATAACTACAACAAACAAGAATTTTACAAAATTATTGAAGCAGAAAATCCCCAGATTACCCTCTCTTTTCAATGATTTAGTCTAGAGTGGTTTTTCAACTCTCACATTGACACCTTATAATTTGTCAGCAATCAAATAATGTGACTGTGGCTAAGAAATTTGAACATTTAAACATTTCTATAGATGCAAAAAAATTAGTTAGGGCATTAGAATTGCCTCAAGCAACCCTCACCTCTCCACCCACAGATGGCCCTGACATCACTCCCCTTTTTCCTGTTATATTTGTGTTATATTCCTTATTAAGTACTATGGTGTGGTGGTTCAAGTCATTTGATTGTGACCTTGGACAGGAAACTTTTCTCCCACAGTAACTCTCCCCACTGAGGAGTGTATATGGGTACCAAAAAACTGTCAGGAAATTCTTGGGAGGTGGGGTTGGGGGCTCAGTGGATTGGGGACTCAATTTAGAAAAGAGTGGCAGTACTTTGAGTCACTTTAAACTCCGTAAACTGAGGTAAGCTGCGACCCCAGAATAGGCTTTCTGGTCTCAAAAGCTCACTTTATCCTTAATATTCTGAAAGTAAACCCTTAAATTCCCAAGATATGATTGTTAATTCTCCCTTCTAGCTACTATATATTTCCTTGTGAATCAGTTTTGAGAATTTGGTGTTAGATCAGGAAAACTTAAACCTAGTAAGTTTGAGTATTCTCAATACCTATTTGTTGAATGATTAACAAGTAGATTCCAAGTTGCCGTGCATCTGTTCAGTAATAGATCACAGATGACGTCAAAATGTGGTAGGAACAAAAAAGTGGCACATGAGGCAGCGCCTCGTGTGCCACTTTTTTGTTCCTACCACATTTTGACGTCATCTGTGATCTATTACTGAACAGATGCACGGCAACTTGGAATCTATTTGTTTTATATAATAAAGAATTTAAAAAAGTTTTAATGATGACGTCATCTATACGTCTGTCCTCCAATAGATCATAAGTGAAAACCAATCAAAACGCGTGCTTAACTGAGCCTATTATATGATATAGAAATATTATATGGATATTATATGGGAAGAAGTTACTTGTTAACCCTTTAACCCCTAAGAGTGACTAGCATCTAATTTCTCCTTACAATATCACCCCTAAATCATACATTAAGGTCAAGAGAATCAAGGAAATCATCACCAACCAATAGAAGCTCTTGATTGTTAAACAAATTCTCCTTGTCAGCACCTTAAGGAATGTATAAAGACCAGTATGGGGAATATGGATACTTATGTTCGGATGTAAAGGGTTCATCACTTCTAAGAGTGAAAGGATTAAAATAAACACAATTTTTATGCTCAAAGGGTGCAACTAGCATTTAATCAGGTATATAAACTTATACCTGATTTTAGGTAAGCTATTTATTTACCTGAAGTTAACATTGGTTTTTTTTCTCTTTTAGAATCATCTTCTACCTGGGCATCTTGAGGAGGACTCAAACTCTGTCCCAACAAGAACTTTTGACTTTCATAAATTTGCTGAGAAGTTCAACTCACAATTGTCTTGTCAGACATTAAATAGTGGTTCCAATGATCTTAAAGAGGATCGTGTTTTATCAAATCAATCTGATCGACTCTCTAACAGTGATGATTCTAATAGTGAAAACGAGGATGAAATTTTCTTGGTCTTCAGAGGGAAGCCCAATAATCGGCAGTCAACTTTTGATGAGGGTCAGGCTGCAGCAGGTAAAGAAACAGACATGATAGAATGATCATCACATATGATTATAATGTATCAATCAATTAGAAGCCTTAAACTATACCCTTCATCTCCCACAGGGAACCCCCCCTAAGCATTTTAACTTTTGACAATTGGTTCATTCAAGTTCCTGTCCCTGGTGTCAAAATAGTGTTCAAATGCCCTATGTAAGTGTCAGATTTGATGATCAACTTTTTTTTGAGAAGGAAAAGCTAGCAACTATAACTTTCTTGTAGACCTTTCCAATTTAAATTTTTCAATTTGATTTTTCCTTTGGAGTATATGCTTGTGATAGTGAACTCCATATTAACAGATAAAACACTTGTTGTGCTAGAAAGAATCGCAAGTTCTGGTTCAAATACCCTATGCCATCCAGGCAAAATTCAAATTACCCATTGGGTGGAGATGGGTAGATGTTGAAGCTTCAAATTGATTTGTGCACAAAGAGATATCACTGATTACCTTGAACAAGTAATTACAGACCAAAATCTGGCTGGTGATCCCTTATTTCTCAGCTTGCAAATTTTGCTAGCAACCAGCACTGATTCCCTTATCAATTCAAAGCTTCAACATCCTCCCTTCACAAAATTATTTAAAAATTAAAGCAACAGCTTAATAATAGATGCATTTTTTTTCAGGGCTTTCTGAACTTTCAAATGGAGAACTTTTAGACTTAAAACAAGAGATGGCAGCTTATGTCAAGGAGTACTCTGATATACTTGTGGAAGAACTAACATTAAGAGAAGAATTAGATAGGGAAAAGGAAATAAAAAACAATTTCATATCAACATTATTAGCTGTTCAGTCCAAAATAAGAGAATCACAGACTGGTCAAGGAAAAGGAAAGAAGGGCTCTTCTGCTTATTCAGGGAAAGTAAGTGAGAGTTGATCAAAAGAGCAATATTATTGTTTGTCTCAGGATGTAGTCACTTTGGACGTGGATCACAACATTTTGAATTCATACTGCAAATCTTCTTTGGGTGATGAATTTGATTTCTTACGTGTCACTGATATGCTGTTCTACTCAGCTGTGATTGGATGGAATTTCATGCCTGTGATTGGTGCAAAGGGCAATTCACATAAGACTTCACCCTAACAACATTGACAGGAACAGTGGAATACAAATCCCAGAAGCCTGAATGCTGACAATCAAGAAACACAACAGCAGGAGAGTCACATGGCAGGTGTCCACAGAGGGAACCTGATCCAAAAAATTGCACCAATCACAGTTGTGAAATGTCATCCAATAACTGCTGAGCATGACAGCATCAAGGTAATGTGTACTCAATAGACCTCACTGCCTGAAGAAGACTGGCAGTGTACAGTTGAAACATTGCGAACCACATCTAAAGGTGACCACATCGTGAGACAAATGAATATATTTCTCTTTTGAAAGTGTTATTTATCACATAGACAGACCACAACCTATTTTACAACATAAATTAATTGTTGTCTAGATCAAGACAGGGTTCTCAATAAGTCATGGCATAGACGTGTAGCTGCATGGAGTAGATGGCTGACAATGTGAGAGCTCTTTTATGGGAGCCTGGGTATACTCTGCCACAAGATATTATTTTTAAGATACAGAGGCCTATGAAATGCCATCTTATGCATTCTATTGGAGGTGTATGCAAAGCAATATAGTGGTTGGTTGGCTTGGTAAACTTGTGCCTGGTATTTTCAGAGGTTGGAAGAGTGTTCAACTTCTGCACCAATGAAATGGTGAGTGGAGTAAATACTAACTCAAAAGGTGGCAAGTAAGCTAAGCTAATTGAGCAAATGTCCTTCCTATCAGTGCATTGGTGAAATCCCTGCACTGACTTGGTTTTAACTGTGCATAAATTACATTTACATTCAGTCTTAACTATCTGTATCCTTCAGTATTTAACTACAGTGATTCCTTATGATGATTGTGATGGAGGTCCAAGCAATAAAGTACTACTGCAACTGATTGAGAGTAAGTCCTCACACTAAAATACTGCCATTGTGACTATTGTAGTTGTCTCTCATAAACTAATGTTTTTCTAGAATACCAGACTCACAATAGGTAACTATTCCAGGTTTTGCCTTCACCATAAAACCCTTAAGAGCGACTGGCTTCTAATTTCTCATTACGGGGGAGTAATTAAATGTGCATTCAAGTTTGGTGTAAACGTGTACTATTTAGCTACATGTGTTAGGAGTGAATTGGTTGGGATTTTTAACATTCTTTAGCCAAATGCTTAACCCTTTAACTCCCAGAAGTGATTGACATGTAACTTCTCCCTATAAAATCCATTCATCATCTAACAAAGAGGTAACAAGAATACTTAAACTTATCAGGTAGAGGTTGTTTTCTTGATTTAACGCCAAATTCTTTTAATTATTTAAAAGGAAATGTGTAGCAGCTAGAGGGGAGAATTAACAATCAGATCTTGGGAGTGAAAAGGTTAACAACCATAGTATGCAAGTTAGTGCCAGTTCATATTTT